ACACCCAGAAATAAGCTTTACTAATCCCTTAAGTGGCTCCCAGGCCAGTCAGGTTACCAGTTAAGCTTAACCCTCACAAGCAATAACACCTAAGAAATTTAGAACAAATGAGGTTGGGTTTTTTATTTGTTTGCATGCCCCCCTCCCCGCCCCCACCCCGCTGGGAATCAAACTCAGGACATTACACTTGCCAGGCAGGTGCTGTGCTACTGAGCTATGTCTCCAGCCCCCTACATGAAGTTGTTGATAGATTGTTTTTTCCTTCTCTATTTTCCCATCCAAGTACTAACCAGGCCCACCCCTGCTTAGCTTCTAAGATCAGATGAGATGGGGCACATCTGGGCGCGTTCAGGGTGGTATGGCCATAGACTGCCCTCTATTTTCTTCATAAGAAGTTCATTATATAACGTTGTTTCACTGGAATAATTTTAATGACTGATTTGTTAAATTGCAAAACTTTGAATTAACATCTAAAGGATTTAAATGCAGTTTGTATAGTTGAGTCAGATAGGTATGGATGCTAAAATAAATGAAAACTTGGGTCTCAGTTTCCCTTCTGGCTTAAACCTCTCAGCTATGTGGACAAGCACAGCTTTTGTTGTGGCAAATGTGGGGTCTTCAGGAAGAGAAGAGCAACCTGTAGCAGCTGTCTTGTGGGCCACAGGCAGCTTACTGCTGATGGCAATAGTGTATGAAGATTTTTGCATTTCAGAAGATTGTCTTAAAATTTTTAGGCATATTCTTATTAGTTTTGAATATTGTTTCAGGGGAAAATTTGTTTGAAAAATCATGTTTTGGCATCAAATAGAGCAGCATATACACTTAACCCTGTAGACGTTAGGGCTGATTTCCTAAGGTTGCCTGTGGCATGAGTATAGGAACTTAATTGTGATTGTATTTAGTGTCTCAGAGACTGGTCACTAAGAAATTAGTCTCATTGAAGTGTGGTGGTACACACCTATATTCCCAGCAACTCAGGTTGAGGCAGGAGATCACAAGTTAGAGGGTAGCCTGGGCAACTTATCAAGACCTGCCTCAAAAGAAAAGGGAGCGGGTGTAGATGTAGCTCAGTAGTAGATGTAGTTCCTTAGCATGACCAAGGCTTTAGGTTCAATCCCCAGTACCATTTAAAAAAATTGGTGGTCTTAAATTTCTGGAGTCAGACGTCTTTAAATGGACATGCTGCTGGGCTTGGTTCCAGTGTATGAGAGGCTGAGGCAGGAGGATCGCCATGAGTTCAAATCAGCTTGCCCTACGTAGTGAGACCCTCTCTCAAAAGCAAACAAAAATAAAATAAATGGACATGATTTTATTACTTTACTTCCATCAGCATTAGAGTGGTAACAGCTAAACTTTCACATGTATAGTGGTTATAAAGTTGTATATCACTAAAAAAGCTTTTGAAAAAATAAGATGTAACTAAAATTTTTGGAGGCTATGTTTTACTTAGTTTTTTAAAAATTCGCTGTGGCAGCTGAGTTGGGGAGTTTGAAGGTTATGGTAGAGGAAGTCTCTTGACATGTTTGAAGTCTCTTGACATGTAGCAGAGATGGTATTACTGCTTTGGGCATACCTAGTGTATTCTTAAACTAGTAGAAATAGCAGCCACAATCCTCTAGGAGTGTTCCATAAACCCCTTGAGGTCCCCAAAACTATCTCTGGAGCTAGGAGACCAAAACTTCCCACAGTAATAGTCTAGCATTGTAGCCTTTCCCCCTGAGTTGACATTCACACACATGTGGACAGAGGCACTCTGTGCTTCTTCCAGGATGCACTGGGCCTTTAACACACTATGTGCTGGTTTCTGTTACCAATGAATGTTTTCAATGAAGCAGTAAAAGGTATTTTATTATATCTTAATCCTCAGATGTACACTTAACCTTCTCTCTAAAAAAATGGCAAGTCCATCCAAAGAGCTTCAGCATCTCCTCGGGGTGACTGCCCCAGGAGGAGCCCTTGGGGGCGGGCCAGATCTAGGAGCTGAGCCAGCCATCTTGAAAGAGCAGACTGACTGCAGCTTTTAGCTCAGTATTTGGCAGGCATTTTCTCCAAAATGAATATTGTAAGTCTCAAGGAAAGCAACTACAGTATTTGTTACTCAAGATAAAATTTGCACTTTACAACAAAAATTAGAATATTGAAAAAATTGTGTGTGCCACTTTGAGCTTAATGACTTCCCAAGAGTTAAACAGTAACTCTGGTGAGATCTGAGCCAACATTAATGAATGCATTTCTTCGGCATTTTCTCCTTACAACTCAGTGAACCAGTATTTTCTGAATGACCCACAAACATAGGTAAAAGGAACACTTGACATGCAAGACAGAGTAGTGAGTTTTAATGTAAGAAAGTAAAAAAGTTCGTTGATCTAGTTTTAGAGGCCATGTTGCAGTTAACTTATGAAACTTTTATGTATGCTTTCACTTTCCGAAGGCATATCTATGTAAGGCTGGGCTTTTTTTTTTTTTTTTTTTTCAGATATTTCAACCAGAACCACACATAGCAGTAATAGAATTCAGAAGCACATATGAAAATTCAACTATTTTCTATTAGAGATGAGCAAAATATAAAACAGCACCACTCTCAAAACTCATTCATTTATTTACTTGCTTGGTTGTTTTGTGGTGGTAGTACTGGGGATTGAATCTGAGCGTTCATGCTGAGCTACATCACCAACCTGTTTTTTATTTTTATTTGAGACAGAGTCTCACTGTGTCTTTAAGTTGCCCAGGCTGGGCTCCAGCTTGTCATCCTCCCAGAGTGCTGGGGCTATAAAGTTCAATGGATTTATTTTTAAATAGATAAATTAAGCATTTAATTCTTCAAATACCAGTAGATCTCAGATAAAAGCCCTTTGGAATTCTCAGCACCCACTGCCCACCCCTTAGGTACATCTCCAGTCTTTTATTTTTTAAGACTCTTGCTAAATTCCCCAGGATAGCTTCCATCTTATGACCCTTCTGCCTCAGGCTTCCAGTTGGCTGGGATTATAAGAATGCCACCAATGTACCCAGCCAGATTCTCAAATTTTAAGAATATAAAGGGGCCTAAGACCAAGAGGCTTGAGAACTGCAACTTGAAAAGTATAATAGCCTGTTCTTGATGTGTTTGTCAGCCATGTAGTTGGTTGGCATTAAGTCACCTGGCAGGCTATGTTGGTAGCAGAGTTGTTGGAAAGTGTTGGTTTATATATATAAATTTTCAAACTAAAGTTTCATAGCATTATCCCTACTTCTAGTCAAGTAGGAACAGTGTTTAGGGTAAGAAGTAATGTACTTAGAAACATTTTGAAACACTTGTAAGTGCAGTACATTTGGGATGAAACTGTAGTTCATTCACTTTTCCAAGTGCAGGGAGGCCCATGTTTCTCTTTCTATCTGGAGAGAAGTTAGTATTACTATGATATGATTACAGCTTTGTGACCACATTTCTTTTGTAATGTGCTGTGTAGTGTTCAGAATTACACACTCGGTTGTGTTAGAAACTTACAATTTTCCCTTTCTGCCTTATGCATGTATTTTACTTTGTTTTTATTGTTGTTGTTGGTTTTTTGAGACAGGGTCTAAACATTATGTAGTTAAGGCTGGGCATGAACTCTGTAGCCCAGGCTGGCCTTGAACTCAAGCAATCCTCCTGCCTCAGCCTCCCAAGTGCTGGGATTATAAGAGTGTGCCACCATACCTGGGAATATACGTATTCATATTTCACCAGCTAAGTAAAATTTTGTTTGATATTTCTGTATTGGTGAAATCATAAAGTGAAAATTTTAGACATAAATTGATCTGATCTGTTCCAAAAGTCCTTTATGTCACTCTGCTTAACAGAAACAAATCTTTTTCTTTACAAATTAGTTTTTGAGAACCCATGTTAGAAAAATCTTTTATTTCTCAGATTAGCATATACATTGATATCCCACCCCGCTACCTTTTTTGTGTGTGCTAAGAATCGAACACAGGGCCTGTTGCATGCTAGGCAGGCAGTCTACCACTAAGATACATCCCCAGTCCTAAACTTCTTCAAAATGGATTTTCATTCTTAAGAATATTTGTTTTTAATCAGTGCAGTGTATTGGGAAATACAAGTGTTTATTTCTAGTTTTCTCTGAGAAGTGGTTTCTGAACTCTTGAAATAGTTATTTGGAGGATAGGTTTCCTGCATGGGTGAGATGATGTTATTATGATGGCATCTTGTGGATAATCACAGAGAACACTGAGGTCTGCATGGTCACTGTCCCTTTAAAGGGACAGTGTCTCATTTGTGTTGGGTCAGTAGGGAAGATGGAAGTTAGAGCCAGGGAAAGGAAGAGGTAAGATACAGGGATGTGTTTAGGAACACATGTACTAGGGCCACTGTACTGAAAAAGATAAATATTTAGAACCTGGCTAGAAACAGGAATCTTTTTCCTTCTTCCTCTTTTGTTGAAACAAAGGAATCTTGAGTTAGTGTTTAAACTAGGGTATTTCACAGAGGCTGTAGAAAAAATGTTCTTTAAACACATGTAAATGAAGTATATTGTGTTCATTATTAGTAAATGTGAACACATCTTCCTAATTTGTTAGATTTTCAGTAAATAATGATTGAGGTGGATTACTAAGAATCTTTAAGTAAATATATACACAATTTTGTTATTCAGCCTTTCTACTTTATGAACATGATTCTTCAGTCAGTGCTGGCTTTCACTGAGCTGGGTCCAGAAGTGGGCTCATAATTGGAAAGAAACTGGTGCCCTAATACCAGTCCTTGAGCCCTGTTCTCTCAGCTACTGCCTGACTCCTTTGTAGACTGGGCTGCCTCTTGAGTTTACTAGTCTTATCTGCCTTTGGGGCTGAGTCCTTAAAAGACCCCGCTGGGAGTGTTTTCCTGACTCTTCAGCTGTCTGTGTGAGTCACTGCAGTAAGGGATTACTTGGAAAGTTTGATCTCTTTTTTTTTTTTCTTTTTTATTGGTGCGTGGTTCAGTTCCATATCTAAAAGATCTATAACGTGTTTTTCTTTTCCTGTAGGAGCTCACCCCAGGAGCAGCCTTTAGACTGTTTAGGTTGCTGGAAGTTTGAATCCTCTCACTCTTGAGTAGTGACTGACTGCAGTGTGCTGAGACCTGGCCAACGGCAGGACCAAGCGGCTTCATCAGCCAGGTTTTGTGTTGTGTTTAGGATTTCAGCAGTGTCCAGGCTATCAGTGATAAGGAGGTAAAGCACCAATACTGTTCAACAGTAGCATCAAAGTGTCAACATAAGTTTTACATTTCCAACTATTAAAGTAACATTGTTTGTAAATAAACCAATCTGTTGTAGCATTCTCAATACTATAAATGTTAGCTGGAAGTAATTACGTGAATATTGAACTGTTAGGAATTTGATTCAGTGCTTCTTCTTTTTACCATTGATTTTTTATTAGTGCTTATATGTAAGCATATTGTATATTTTCTCTTTGATGAGAGCTAAGTATTGTAGAGGAAAAGTCTTCCTCAAGAAAGCCATCCCGGTGGCAGCAGGGGTGGGTCGTCGTGGTTGTGTGTCGTTCCCCCCACGCCCCCCGCCCCACTCTGCATGTGATTCTTTGGGTCTTAGAGGTCGGGGACTGCACCCACATCCTGTTCTTGGTGAAGTCTAGTACCAGCTCTGTAACTGCATACCCAGCAAGGTTGCCATTTTAAATTTCATGTATTTTGCATTTGGGGACTTTTTGTTTTATACCATGCCTTTCCCTGAGATGGAACATGGTATAAAAGCTCAGAGTCATAATTTGTGTTTGTACATAACTAAAGCATGGAAAGCTTGGGGAAGAATTCTCCAGATATATACTATCTTCAGTTTTATCATTATAAACAAAAATAAAAAGTTTGGCACGTCTTTAGCGGTTTAGGGAGAAAATGAAACAGAGATGAAGACTAAACCCTGAGGACTGGGGTATAGCTCAGGGCATAGCACCTGCCTACTAAACATGAGGTTCTGAGTTCAATTCTCAGTTTAAAAAAAAGACTAAAGTCTGAAGCTGTTAGGCTCCCAGGTTGCAGCAGGAGTGGGCTGTCCCGTCATTTAATAGTCATGGAGCTGACTACACACTCACCAGTAACCAGGCTGGTTTGCAGAGTCTGAGACAGTGTGTCATCCCCACCCACCACCAAAGCCAGGCTCTGTGTGAGGGTGTCCAGAGTTAGAGCTTGGAAGCCTAAGAGATACTTGGCCAGTCCTCTGGTAGCTACACATAGAAGTAGCACAGCACTGTATCCCTTATGCTCATGGGCACTGCCAGACTGGTAACACATCAAGTGCTATTGGATGGATGTGGCTTTTAAGTGCCACCCAGGTGTCATCCAGCCTCGTTGTGATGGTGGAGTACTCACCCTGCATGGCCTAGTGCTTGCTTCATTGCTTCCTATCTACTTGGTAGAGCTTGGTCCTGAAAGTTAAGTGGGGACATTGTACATTGGATTTGCTGGCTGGATTTTTTTCCTACTAAGCATTTGCTGTATCACTGAATTTGATGACTCACCTGGAGTTGTCTCAACCACAGCATAGAAAACAAGATCAGAAGTGCATCATTTATGTACAGGTCGAATTTTGTGAGTAGAAACCTGTTCCATTTCAGTGCTGTTCATATTTCCCTTGAGCAGGTGCCCTGTCATGCACGTGATGAAGTGCCTCAGTGGTCTGTGGGTCATGTTGTGGTTACCTTTTACACTAGGTATGGATGATCCAGGGGACCAGAGCAATGAGGAAGCACCTAAAGCTATTAAACCCACAAGTAAAGAGTTCAGGAAGACCTGGGGATTCCGGAGAACAACAATCGCTAAGCGTGAAGGTGCTGGTGACACTGAGGTGGACCCTGCTGAGCAGCAGCCACACAGCCTCTCCCTGCGCCGCAGCGGGAGGCAGCCAAAGCGCACTGAGAGAGTGGAAGAGTTCCTGACCACAGTTCGACGCCGAGGAAGAAAGAACGCACCTGTCTGCCTTGAGGATTCTGGGGAGGCAGCATCCTGTCCAGTCACAGATGTGGAAAGCGCCTCGGAAGGTAGTGTTGAGAGCAACTCTGAGATAAAAAGTGTCCCTGCATCTGGTTCCAAGCGAGGGAAGGAACACCCAGCCTCTTCTGAAAAGGCCAAAGGAGGGGATGAGCAAGGTGACACCTCCGACAGTGACAGTGATGGGCTCACTTTGAAAGAACTTCAGAATCGTCTCCGAAGAAAGCGAGAACAAGAACCGTCAGAGAGGCCCCTGAAGGGTGTCCTGAATCGCCTGAGAAAGAAGCGACGAGAAGAGGACTCAACTGACACTGTGGAGGTCGAAGTGGGAGGAACTGGCCATGATGTGCCACCTTGTAAGCAGGAGTCTGACGCTGGCGAGGGGCCTGTGAACCAGGAAGCAAAAGATGACAGAGAGAGTGAATCGGAGGGCACAGTGGCTCAGGAACCTAAAGATGAAGACCCCGGGGATGTGGGCAAACCTAAGCCCGATAGTGAAGTTTACGACCCCAACGCCTTGTACTGCATCTGCCGCCAGCCTCACAATAACAGGTGGGTCAAAGTTATGGAAGTAAAGTTGCTGCTCACTTTTAGTGAAAAGCCAGGCATAAAATTGGATGGAATGTGGGGGAAAAAATGGGTGGACAGAATTTTCCATTTGTTTGGATATTAACAGATTCCCAAACTGGGCTGCATTAGCAATTGTTTCATTTGATAAAGATGCACTGATCCAGGTGTGGAAAGAAACAACGTACAGAAGTGGCTGCCTCTTGCTGTCCTTTCCACGGTGCTGTTTACATATTGGTGTCCAGCGGGAATGAGGAAGAGGTCACTACCTCAGGTCACAGGAGCCCATGTGTATCAATTGGCTACTGTGCAGGTGGCAAGAGCCCTGTGCCATCCTAGATCGCTATGGGAGAGTGATGCTCCACCCAGCTCCTTCCTACAGAGACCCTGACTGCACCCAGTGTGCCCTGGGCTAGGACGGACTGGGTGCCAGGTGCTGCTGGGGTGTGGGCTTGTTGGGGGGATAATGCTGTTAGTGCTGTTGGATGAAGATACACAGGTAAGCCTCTAATTCATTATTAAAGTTCTGGTCAAAACAGCAATGAAATTAATATGATTGGGAATTAAATTCAGTACTTTTTTTCACATTATTCATAATCAGTTTTCCATTAATTAGCCCGGTTTGGGCTTGCAGTGTGTTGGGAAGTGACTGTCATCGCTCCATTATTCCATCATTTTCTCATCTTAGGTTCATGATCTGTTGTGACCGCTGTGAGGAATGGTTCCATGGCGACTGCGTGGGCATTTCTGAGGCTCGAGGGCGGCTCTTGGAGAGGAATGGGGAGGATTACATCTGCCCGAACTGCACGATCCTGCAAGTGCAGGAAGATACAAATTCAGAAACCACTGATGAGCAGGAAACTCGATACAGATCTGCAAGTGTGGATGGCACAGATTGCACCAGCATAGGGACAGTAGAACAAAAGTCTAGTGAAGATCAGGGGATCAAGGGTAGAATTGAGAAAGCTGCAAACCCCAGTGGCAAGAAGAAACTCAAGATATTCCAGCCTGTAAGTATTTATTTACCAAGGTGAGAGTGAAGGTGGGGCCCCTTACTGATGTTAGACTTGCTCTTGATAGAAATAGACTAAGACTAGGAATGGATTTCCCTTTTGAATCTGTTAGGTTTTCCTGGGCCAGGTACCAGTGTGATGTGGATTGGACCTGTCAAGAAATCATTCTACACTTGAATTCTCTCTTCACATCACAGTGTTCTAACAGTGCATTTTTAAAAAGACCTTTTGACCTCCTAACAGTCTTAGCATATTTTTAAAAAATTCACCTTTATATGTTCTTGGTGAAATGTGTGTGGGCAAAACACACACTGGTCCCCATACTCAATATGTCATTTCTCTGCCTGCCAGCATTTCTTCATTTTCCTTCCTGCCTGTTTGGATGCTTCCTTGAAGCCATGGCTCTGTCACATTTGCCACCATCAGCTGTCTCATGCTTCCCCTGCTTTGTGAGGGCCTGACTCAGCCTCCCTGGGCACCTAGACCCCCTGGCCTGCCCCGTCCCACCCTCCAGCAAGTGTGGAGATGGCTAGATGGCTGTGTGAGGAACCATATTTACCTTGGTGTTTGTCACCTCGTGTAAGCTGCATGGTGAGAGTACCTGAGGACTTGGCCATGTGAAGCCATGTGTGGGCATGTTAGAGAGAGAACATGAACATGTGGGTTCAGCTTGTAATACCACACTTAACTGGGAAATCATCGATTTTATGTCCGTATTGCCAATGTTTGACATAAGCATGTATGTTACTCTAGGTAGAACTTCACTTCATTAGAGGAAGATGATTATGCTAAATGTTTAGCTATTTTGCTTGCATATATTTGAGCGATGGGCCTGGTGTATTTAATCTAGACCTTCAGACATACTGGAGTATTATATACTGGTATCCTTGTTTGCTATTGCTGTGTAACAAATCAGCACACACACAGCATTAGGCCATACGTCTAGAGACTCCCAGTATCCTTGGGTCAAAGCCTGGGCTAGCTGAACTGAGCCTTCTGCTCAGGGTCTCCCAAGACTTCAGTTAGGGTGCAGTTAGGCTTGTGGTCTTGTCATTGGGTCTGCTGGGAACACATCCCTCCTGGAAGCCATCACCTTGCTTAATGTATGTCTGCTGCAATTTGGTGGCATAGAGATAATAAATTATTTATTGATTACCTGATGGGTATGAAATCCCACTGTGTCTTCAGTGTTGCCTATACTGAAGTGAAAGAAATGTGCAGAGCATGTGAAACAGGCTGCCTTAATGTCCTGCATAGTACAATATGTTAAGCGTACTCTGTGTGTTACTGTCATCATCTCTTAGCTGAAAACTAGCCTTGGGCACTGCAGACTTTAGCCTTGGGTACTGTGCATGTTGATAGACATTTGCAACTGCACTCTTCCTGAGGTAGGAGGATCACAAGTTTGTCCCCAGTCGGGGCAATTAAGCATCTTTGGGGAACCCTATCTCTAAAAAAAAGTACAGAAAGCTGAGATACAGCTCAGTGAGTGGCTCAGAGTTCATTTCCTTACACCTGGGGAAAACAAAAAACCTTCATTTATTACTGCCAGTAGTACCATGAAAAAGTGCTTTTCCTGTTGGCATTGGCACATCCATTGTTTAAAGTGATTTATTTGCCTCTGCAGGTCATAGAAACTCCTGGCGCCTCGAGGTGCATTGGTCCTGGGTGCTCCAGTGTGGCGCAGCCTGAATCAGTGTACTGCAGTAATGACTGCATTCTCAAACATGCTGCAGCTACCATGAGAAATCTAAATTCAGGTAAAGAACAAAAACCAAAGCCTAAGGAGAAGGTCAAGATGAAGCCGGAAAAACTCAGTCTTCCAAAATGTAGTGTGCAGGTAAGCTGACCAAGGTTGCTATTAAACCGTTAAAGGAAAAAGTACCTTAGAGTGCTTTTTCATGTGCCTCTCTCTGTTTACTGAAGGAGCTTAGGGCACAGCAGGTGTTAATGTCATGCAGATCATATCGCCTTTACTTCTTGTAATGGTCATCTGCTATTAGCCTGGAGCTGGCTTAACTTGAGTGCACAAAGCAACATAGGCAACCGGCTGCCCTGGACAGCATAAAACATAGGATACATACCCACGTTTGGCCACTTGTAGCTGTTTTTTATGTGCAAAGTTGAATCACAGGGTAGTTTGTGTAGGACAGGTTTTTGGTAGGGGTGCGCTTCGTATAAGGTAGTTCTCAAAATTTCCTCATTTTTCTCTGTGTGATTTGGGAAAACCAGAAATGTCCAGAAACCAGAAGCCTTGCATTAATTGGGAAGTTACTTGTGAGGCTCATCTGGAAATGACCGTCAGTGACTCATCTTGTTTGGGACATGCAGTTATGCTGTTCCATAAGTCTTTAGTTCATTGTCAATTGCTTGTTAGGCTTTACATGGCTTGATTCTTAAGGATGGTCATTTTGAATCCTAGAGCTGTCTAAGAGCAGTGGCTGGGGCCCACAGAAAGGGGACAGCATAGCCAAGAGTGCTGGGACCATGTCCCAGTATCCACATTCCAGACTTGCGAACGAGATATGTCATTTGTCTCCTTTTCTTTGCAAATACCTTTCCCTCCCCATGTAGTGCTCAGCACATCCTCACATTTGCACACAGGCCCTTTCCACTGTGGTTGGTTTGATTCTCTGCCTCACATTTTGTGGTATCTTGGCACTCATACACCAGCAAGGTTACAGAAAATGTCATTTCACGACCATTTCCTCCTGAATAGTTGAAATAGTTAAAATCCTGCGTGCTCTTGGGGGATGCATACACTAACAACTACAGGGTACAATCCCTGGATCAGTCAGGAGGTGTCTTAGGGCAACCTGGAAAGCGTTGTGATACTCACTGTTCTGTGAAAGGAAGCAAAGGTGTCATTTCTGACCTGTGTAATGATTAGGTTTTCGCTAATTATCCAGGTAGGGATTAAAATCTCCTCTATACACAAGAGACAAGCTCCAGAGAGAAAAGAAAACATTGTGAAGAAAGTGATGGTGACCCCTCCTAGGAGCGACACAGTGGGGAAGGAGGCGGCCTGTGAGAGCAGCACACCTTCCTGGGCCAGCGACCACAACTACAATGCAGTGAAGCCAGAGAATACTGCTGCACTGTCCCCACCACGGTTCTGTAAATGTAGGTATTCCCGAGGGTTTGACCCTCTGGTCCCTTCTCACCCTCTCTGGATAGCCACCTGGAGCTAAACAGGGTGGGGAGTCACAGCTGTGTTTTAGTGTTGATGTTGGAGACCAGGTCACCATCAGCTGGAAGCAAGTGCCCATGTCCAGCATGCCTTCAGAGCCTGGTTGTCCATCCTTGGCCTGTGGCCATTCTTCTCGGTGTTTTCCAAAACTGAACAAGCCTGCTGATAAGTGGCTCACCATGGTGGTGCAGTCCTTTAATGTCTAGCTTCAGTCAAGATGAGGCTCTGGTAAGTACTTACAGTATCTCCAGAAAATCAGATTACATCTTTGTACTTAGCCCCATCTCCAAACTCAGCACTGTTGAAATACCAGCTAGTCTAATCACAGCCATGTGTAGAACTTGAGTTTTTCCACATTATTCCATTTTTGCACATAAAGTCACCACTACTTTGGTGTGCTGTGGGCATCACTGCAAATTACTCTTGCATCTGGTAGCTTTGGTACAACTTTTAGAAGTTCATAGAATCTCTGACCTGACAGGGAGAGATTTTCTTCGCATCTAGTTCACATACTACACACCCACATAAGTAGACATTAAAATGTTGGAGGCCATATGTTGCTGTGCAAACTCCACAGTGAGTGAAGATGGCATTGTTGACACTGAGACCATTGTCCTCAAGGGAGATTGATGGGCTGCTGTCACAAGGGTGGTGGCTTCCTGGCTGTGCTCTGGAGTATTTAAACTGCTAACCCACCCCTGGTTTCAAGTGAATGAAATGAAGACACTTGGGTCCATGTGTGAAACCCCAGCTTAGACGATGCAACCTGGATCTGTTTCTCAGCCTCATACTCCCAAGATAAATCATAGACATTGTTATTAGGAGCCACAGGAATCATCTTATTCTAATTTTTATTTGTTTTTACTAATGTTCCCTATAGTTCAATTTGTCCCTTTTTGAAAGCACCAATAGATTAAATAACCCTGAATTCGAAGAGTACAGCTGTACTGTATTTTCCTTTCTTTGGACCTTTAGCATGTCACACGGGGAGAAGGCTGTGATGGAGGTAGGTGCCAGATGTCATTTGGTTAAGAATTTGAGATCCTGAAAGTCCCATGACAGGAAATGGAATCACAGCTAAGTTGCATGAACCAATTGCTGTATCATGGTGGACCTTAATACACCTTAGAGGGCTTAAGGAGCAAATATCATGCTGGCAGATGAAGTGTCTCATATGTTCATCAAATTACAGCAGCTCTAAGATCTGTAGAGCCAACAAATACACTGAGAAATGAGCAGCACCTATGTGTGAATGGGTAGAGGGCTAAATGCTTTAAGTTGAGGATAGGCACATAATAATGTAAGAAAGAAACACCAAGTGTTTAACCACCATCCAGATACATGGGTGATAGTTTTCAGTCCAACTCACCCCTGTCAGAGTGGAAAACCATCCCTGAAACTCCAAGGGCTGTCGAGGAGACCCTCAGTGCTGGAGAGAGGGAACACTGGTGATAAAGCTGGGGATACGGGCTCTGCAGTCAGGTGCTGTGTCCTGTGTACACAGGGGAAGGGAGGGACTTGAGCTCAGGATCAGTGGGGAGGCCAGTTTCTGTAGATAGATGCGGGAGGGTTGGCTTTGACTTTTCCTACCTCTTCTGCACACTGGCTCTTCCAGTGGAGCTCATGGGCTCCAGGGGCAAGTATTTGGGATAAATGAACAAGTGGACAATCTTCCCGGCACATACACATCTCAAATTTAAAATTGATGGACATCCAGACTACAGCATACATAAAGGACATACCTGGAGCTGGTTGCTCCTGATAATTTCTCTTTTCCCAAAAGTGCCATTTTCTCAAAGATTGGGAGGTCGGTAGAGTGATTGGTAAAGCAATCCAAGTAGCAGTACCATGTCTCTGCCTCTCTTGCCCCAGACATTTCCTCACCTTTGGGATACCAGGGCACATCCCCAGGACTCTGGGGGATAGGGTGGAATGGAATGGGTAGCACACATAGCCCCTGACCCTGTCTTCCCAGCTCACTTCAACTAGGGCAAGGTGGGGTGGTGAGGCTCAGAGGGAAGGTGACTCTGGGAATACTTCAGTCCACTTTCTTGGGAGCTGATCCACCTTCGGCTCCATGTGTCTGAGAAGAACCATGTGGCAGAGCCAAGCTGCCACAACTGCTCCTGGAGGTGCCTCAGCTGCATCCTGCCCACGTGTCCCTGGTGCTGTCAGGGTAGACACAGGCAGGTATGCGGACCTACCCTACAGGAAGCTCTGCTGCGCCTTCCGGTTCTCCAGGTGATGCGATTCACACACACTTGTGCCTGTGATTCGTTCATTAACATTTTCTAGGATTTATGTACAATTTTCTGAGTTTATGCAAACCAACAGCGTTTTGTTTCTTGTAAGGAAATGTTTTATAATACATTTTCAGTTCCATGCCATGTATAAATGGAATTTTGATATTCATAGGCACAATTTAGTGTTTTGGGTTCCCTAAATAGGTTATTAATTGACATAAAACACTGGGATCTGCATAGATTTTGATGGGAAAACATTTCACATATATGTGAGAATTAAAAAGGAGACTCAAAACCACTTATAGATGCAGTTCCCAGCCATTTGTTCATCTCACCGAGGTAGAAAGATTTTATTGCTGATAACCACACGGATGGTCCTGGTGGTGTGGGGAACTGGATTGCAGAGAACACAGGTTTCCGCTGGGTTACTTGGGGTGTGGGTTCTAGCACACATTTCATTGAAATCATAAGGGAAACCAATTCCATATAATAAATACTTAGCGGGTATTAGAACCTAAGAGTTCTTAGAAATCTAAAAGTGTTTTTTTTTAATACCAGCCATATCTTTTCAAGAGATGTCATTGGCAATAAAATGAGGGTGAGAGGAACTAAGACTGTATCTAAACCAATCTCCTATTTGTATGAAAAATCAATTTGTACAAGTTAAATGATTTAGCTTGAAAACTTCGTATCAGTACAGCTGGAATCATCTTGGTTGTCAGCATGACATCGTTTTGGTAAAATGTGTAACCTTTTATAATGTTAAAGTAACCTATTCAGAAAATTAGATCATTTTATAAACTTGAACTTACCACGTGGACCCTCTCCGCACTATCCTGCACTATCCTCCAGTCTGTCCTACAGCTTCCCTGGTCTCCAGATCCTTTAGCCTCTGTGTCCTTCTACTTCCTTGGGGAGTGGGTGAGGGGTGGGAGTTTCCAGTGGGGTTGGTCTTTGAAATCTCCTGTCAGTGACCTTCCTGCAACCTTTTGGAGCTGTGGATCTGCTCTGTTACTTCCTGAAGATTAATACTCATGGAAAAATGGATGACATTGCAAATGTCATCAAGTGCAAGGATCCCCTCTGAAGATTCCTGCTATAGTTCCTCGATAGCTTTTCAGGTATATTTGTATCAGTTTGTAAAAATACTTAGAATTTTGTTGCTGTTACCATCAACATGCATGTAGTTAAATTCTTAGTTTCTGAAAGTTAGCAAAGTAAACTTAGAAGATTGGTAAGAATGTTTCCTACATTATTTCAGTGAAGGTTGGGGCAACTTTATTTTGCCACAACCCTGGAAGAGCTTGTCAAGAAAAACCTAAGGTAACCAGCAGCATATTCCTCACCTAAGGTCCACATCAGGTGTCAGCTTTGTGGTTTTACACATTTGAATCTGACCCACTGGGTCTGAGGCTTCTGGGGAGGGTAAGTGGACTGTTTCAACATGCTGCTCTCCTATTTGTGTTAATAAATAAACAATTCAGGCATAATGAAATGATGTTTCTTAAAATTTAGTATTGCCACAGTAGTGTATCGCCTGGTGATTGAAGATCCCTGAGAAGCAGCTGATCACTTCCTGGTGAATCTTGGGTTTGGCAGCCCAGTGCACATGGCCCCTCGGCTGGGCAGACAGTGAACATGAACAAGGCCTCACCACACTCCACTTGAGTGGCTCACTTTGAAGTGTAACTTGACCAGTTGTGTATATGTTGCCAGCCCAACCTGAGTCATGCTATTTTACTATTCAGGATAATGCATGTGATATTTGAACAAAGGAAAGTATTTTACTAAAGGGGTTTTTTGTTTTTTAAATCCAAGGTTCTTATGTAGGGTTAGAAACCTCTTCATTAAACTGAAAACACAAAAATACTGGGAGACAATAAATAAATTGCCTGGGAAAGCTTTTTCATGATCTAAAACAACCTGGCTGTGGATGTCTGCAAAAAAGTGCAGTCAGAACGGCCATGTACCCAAGAGCGTCTGTCATGTAACCTGGTCCACGTTTCATGTTACTACAGTGTGAAAGCAGATTAGTTTATCCTTTTCCAAGTACCATTCATTGAAAATTATAATAGGAACAGAAGCAAAACATTTTCTGTCACCTTCATTTTTCATAGTGGGAAAGATCGTAACACTGAACAAACAGTTGAGAATGGAAAACCAAGTTGTGCACGGGCTCCAAGAGAACAGAGTGCTACGTGGTGTCTGCGGGGAATGGGCAGTTCGTTCTTGCATCAGTAATCCATGGCAAGAATTAAGAAGATGAGGGCGTCAGTGCCTGATGGGATGGAAAGTCCTATGCAGAGCCTAATGGGTTTCACTGGTTGGCCTGTGAAGACCCCCTTGGGAACAGCACTCACCAGTCATGGGTGTCGGGGCAGTTTGGGCTGTGTAGACTTTGTCTCGTGCACCTTTTCAGGGCCCCTGCCCCTTTGTCCTACTGCAGCTTCCATCTGGACAATTAATGGTTTCAGAAGAAAGGAACACACTGGCATGATTCTTCAGGAGAGGCCAGGTTTTCTCCACCTTCTCCCTTTGTGGCCCGCTAGTGCCACCCAATGACTCGCGATGGCATAGCGCCCCGTCAACCTTCCGGTGTGACACCTCACTACAGCACAATGCTGATCCTGTGCACAGCAACCTGCTGTGATGGGCTGAACCTCAGATAATGGAGTTCCCAAACAAATGGCCAAACCTGGCAGCATGAGTTTCATCTGGGCCAGGGACCTAGGCCACTGGTGGTGCTTTCTGAAGCAGCAGTTTTCCTCCCTACAAGCAAAGCAAAGGACATGAGTTGAAGGAGGCTCTGCTGGTATAATCGCTCCACTGTAGGAGGATGGAACATGGGTGGGAACTGGGCATTGCTCCTCTGTGCACGATGGAGGTAGCTGGACAGGGCCAGTGCTGACCAGCAGAGAGCTCAACAGCAGGCCAGGTGGCTCAGACACCAATCTCATGCTCTGGTTTGCTGCTGTTTTTCTGAATGAGATCACAGGTTTATCAGTCATTTCCTGCCCTTCTGAAAGTTTACATAATATGGTAAAAAGTGTAGTTGGAGTCTGACTATTAAGGCTCACTAGCAGAGAGCTTGCCTAGGATGCACAAGATCCTGGGTTCTTTTGCCAGCAACAACACAGTTTGGATGAAAACTTTGGGAATTCTTTTGAAGCCATACCCAAAAGAGTCTCATTGTCATTGCAGTTCTAGGAGCAGCTCACCCAGCCTAGTAACAGCAGTATGGTGTCCACCTGGGGACAGAGAGATGTGAGAGCCGTAGAGCACTTGCTGTGTATATGTATTTTAAACACCTCTAACGTACAAGAGGGCTTGATTTGTCTTACATACTACCAGCAGGTAAACTTGAGGCAGATTTCTTGACATCCACGAGTAAGGATTATTTTGCCAATTTGTGTACTGCTGGAAGTACAAGGCAAGGACTCAGAGAAGTTGGCCTTAAGATGGCAGAATGCACTGATCTTTAAAACTGCAGCCTGGTTAGGAAGCCATGCCCTCAGTGTAGTGGATGCCGTTCAGGTACATGTCCACTCCAGGGTAATCTATGACCTTAGTCACGTGCTGGAAATACTGTTAATTTCCATTTTCCTCCAATTAGGGCCGATAGGCAGGTAGATTATAGAGGGTTGGATCTTATCTTCAACATCTCATTCTAAAGCTTATAGTTTCAAGAGCAGAGTTCATTTTTCGAACTCCCATGTGTTTGTAAGCAGAAACAAGGAAAAAGTTAACATTTGCTAAGGATTTGTTTGAGATCATAGCACACAGGTGTGTAGGGTTTTTGTGAAGATTCTTGAAGTGCCTTAGGCTAGTCTTAATTAACAGTACAGTATCGAAATTCTGTCAACAAAGTTCCTGTGTCTAAAAGGCAATGATGGTATAGCTTTTAGTTCTCCCCTTTAATTGAGACAGGTTCATGCTTTTTGTGACTGCCAAGTTGGCTGGCTTGGTGCTGAGATACACCACTGTGACACCTAGTGTAGGTTTATTGTGCCCCTGCTCACTTCAGTCTCTTCCAGATGGTGTTTCGTAGCCCACCCTTCCCACTATGCTCAGAAAGGTCAGGCCTGCCCCCCCTCCCCCAAGAAGAGTACACTCCGCTGGTGTTAGGAATAAACATTCAACTTCTGAGTGTAGCAGCTGTACAGGAAGAATCACCACGTGCTGTCACTTAGGAAGGTTACATTCTGATAACACTGTAAAGTCAAGAAGTTGTGAGTTGAATGCTCATGTTGCATGTTGTAATATAAAACCTAAGTGTCCGGTACAGTAAAAGTAGTTTCTCTGTATTCCATGTTGTGCCTGTTTCCTCTTTGTCAGACATTCCCATTGCTTTGTAGTGTACTATCTGTACAAATACAGGCCCATCTGGGCTTTTCTTTGTTTTGTTCAGAGGAAAGAAGCTCCAGAGATGTGGCTGTGAATGGATGGGGGCTGGCATAGCATGCTGGGCACAGGTCTGGGACAGAGATCTTTGGCAAGAAGCTATTGTGTGAAGTGAAGACAAGGAATTTTTACTCAACCATCACTGTGAGGGTTGGGGACTATGAAAACCTAAAATGGTCTTGATCCCTGAAACTCTCCTAAACTGGATCCGCTTAGTCCCATTGTACATTTTGTAAAATTGAGAGATTTAATTCATCTTATAAAGGAAACTGAGACAGCCCTTGTCTTTTACTGACACTTGGTGGACTGGCCACTTGGGAGCATTGCAGACTGCTAGATAAAGGCTAGTGGCCTCAGCCCCAGTGGACACAACCATGTCTGTGACAAGGCTGCATTGCATCCCCTGGTTTCAAAACCACTGTGGAGCAGTGTGTGGCAACAGGCCTTCCTTGCTAGTGGGACATCAGCTCTTTGGAGTTTTCAGCCCTCCCTGGTATATGGGGAGTGGTCATTGGACATGGTGATCAGAGAGTAGTCACTGATTTTTAATCCCTGGTCACACTGCAGGCGTGACTGTAGCACCTATTGACCCCATGTAGATTTTATGGGCTTGGAGCTGCAGGGTGCTGGGGAAACAAATCACCCTAGAAAAGGCATTTTCTGTGTGCATGCTGACGAGACAGGCAGTACTGGTGTCCTCCTTAGGCCCCTGTCGTGACTAGTGCTCCCACACGAGATTTTGATGTAACCAATTTTGTCCTGACTTGGAGAGTTTTTACTGTTTTCCTTTGAGGTTTGGTGGCAACTCTTATTTGAGTTAACACACCAAATTGTCACCTCATTACAGTGAGAAAATTTCAACTCCAGTTATGTGTGTGGACATCTGTAGAACAGCCTCACTGTGTTCTCAGCATCTGCTTCGTGGTACGAAAATATATCCCTGATTGGCTTGTCCACAAAAACAGAGTAACATGTGACTTCCATGCTGCTGACAGGAGGTTACCAGCCCCCTGAGCCCTTGAGGTTGCTTGTGCCTAGGAGGAAATTTTGTCCATTTTCTCTTTCTGACAAAATTTTTGAAATGTGAAGCTTCACATTTAACCTTGAGTTCCTTGTGGAAGTGATATTCTAAAAATATTCTTAGTTATGTGGGATTTGTCCTTCAGTTTCATAGCTTAGTGATAAAACAGAGCCCCTGATAATTAGTTTATGAATTGAGATAAAATATCTAATGGGATAATGTAATCCGTTTTGAAATTAATTACACTGTGACTATCATAAATACCTCTCCCTACCCTTAGTTACTGTCCTTTTCTGAATTTTAAGATTTTAAAATTCTTAAATCCAAATGTATCTTAGTGATGCCCAGCAAGTACGTTTGAACTTAATGTTTACTATGCTTTAAAGTCAGGTGTCAGCTCTCACGTGTTGGCCCCATCTCACTCACTGTCCCTGTGTTCTGCTCTGCAGCCATGAAGGACGACAAGAGAGTGGAGGACAGAGCGGTGGGGCCATCCACAGGTCCAAAGAAAATAGCCCTTCCAGGCTCCTCAGTGGGGAGACCACCTTCGTCCAGAACTCTAGTTCCAAAGAAGCCGCCTCCTTTCGCTAACATGGCAGGAGCCAAACCGGCCATTAAAAAGTCACCCTCGGGCATCAGGGGCCCCATGCCCAAGAGGCCCTGGCTCTTGCCTACCCCATCAGGCACCTCAGCTGCCAGGCAGGCAGGACCAATGCCTATTGCTGTGGCTGCCGCTTCCAAAAAGGCACTGGGCTCTGCTGCTTTGGTTGGATCCATGAGGAAGCCAGGGACAACTTCTGCTCCCACAACAGTTCCAGCCACAGGACGCCTTGGGGCCACAGGCTCTGCCCAGTCACAACCAAATTCACAAATACGGCAAAATATAAGACGTTCCTTGAAAGAGATTTTATGGAAAAGGTGGGCTGTTCAACTTCATGTCTTAATCTGTGGAAGTGGGGGTTTTCCATTTATAATGTCATGTCAGGATTGTCCCACTATTTAAAAAATGAAATATATACACATACTAAGTGGTTTATTTGGTTCCTGTTTTTTTCATTCTGTTCAGGGTCAATGACAGTGATGACTTAATCATGACGGAAAATGAAGTGGGAAAAATTGCCCTCCACATTGAGAAGGAGATGTTCAACTTGTTTCAAGTCACAGATAATCGCTACAAGAGTAAATACCGCAGCATCATGTTCAACCTCAAGGACCCTAAAAATCAGGTGTGTAAACTGATGTATATATGAAATCGTTCCTGGTGGAATGACACACATGCAGTCTGTAGTCAGCAGTATCACATAATACACTGGACACAGTATTTAGAGGCACTGATACACTTTCCCCATTCATGGCTCCTTCCCTCTTTACCTGAAGTCCCACCCACCCAGTTTACTAGATGAGCCTCTAAACGTTGCTCTAAAACCACATTGTGCAGTTAAGGCTGAGGCTGACCCTTGTTAGCTGAGGTTTTCTTAGAATGTGATGCAAACCATACCTGCAGTTGCCAACCTTAGTCTGTAGGCTGGGAGGGATGAGCTACTGACCTGACTCAGCCCATCCGGCCACCTGCCAACAAGGCTATCTTTTGAGGTTCTTTCCTTCACTGCTGAACTCTTACCTGTGTGTTATTTATGTATCTTTTGGAAGTGACAAAACCCTTACTAAAGTGAAATTTATGCAAGTTTAATCTGTTAATGTTCTACTAACATTAACATAACTTAAACAAGTTCTCCATAAAGTTGTACTAATAATTTAAACAAGTATGATCCAGACCCTCAAAAGAATGTGTAATTCTACTATAGACTCCATGTTCTCAAGACAAAGTTCTTTAAAGGGGATAAAAAAAAAAGCGTCACGTGGAATAGCATGAAAATAGGAATAGCGAATCAATATAGCTGGATTTTTCATGGCCTCCGCCTTCTGATTATCAAACCATTAGTCCTAGAATCAACCATTAGGGTTATTAGTACTACCCCCACCACATGACATTTTCCTAGGTATTGTAATCTTGTTACATGTATCAGAACTCATACTAAATGACATCTGGATTGCAGTAGTGTATGTAATTTTTCTACCTTTCTGTGCATCTTTGTCCACAAATGAACATTCACAAGTGCTGTTTGCCTGTTTTAGGATCAGGATCAAGTGTTCTGGCTGTACCTCTCGTGATTAGCAAGCCATGGTCTAAGGGATAGATACCCTGTTTGCTTTGTAACACCCTTTTTGACTTGTCTTCCACCTTGAGTTGGATTTGTTTCCTGAGGCTGTCGGGTGTTCAGCACAGTCTGTGTAGCATGGCTGTGAAGTCAGGTGGGCCAGGCTGGCTCTTCCTCCTGAAAGGCTTCTGGGGAACTTCGGGGGGTCCTCCCCAGGTGTGACCACGTACTGCCCTGTGACAGGACTCGAGCTGCTTCACTTAAACACATTGCTGCAAGTTTGTAGGCGCTTACCCAGTTTTTCAATGACTGATTGAAAAATATTTGTTTATAGGGACTCTTCCATCGAGTTCTGCGTGAAGAAATTTCTTTGGCAAAACTTGTGAGAATGAAGCCAGAAGAACTCGTGTCTAAAGAGCTTTCCATATGGAAAGAGAGGCCAACAAAATCTGTGAGTGTGGATGGCAAATGGTAGCTTGAGTCCCGAGAAGCTCAGCTGTTCCATAAGTTAGTAATCTGCGGGGAGATGTGGTTTGTGCCTAGGACTCCGGGCTTAAGGCTTCATTTTTATTTTTCTCCTTTTAGGTAATTGAGTCCAGAAGTAAACTGCCGAATGAAAGCAAGAAAGCTGCCCTGAAGCCAGAAACCATTCCGGATATGGAAGACTCTCCACCTGTGTCAGATTCGGATGTGAGCACTGGGGATTTTAGTGATTGCAGGAAGGATAAGATTAACCCATTCCTGCTTCTAGGGTCTGCAGTTACGAGGCAAAACACTGCACAGCACTGGAAACGGACATATGTGGACATGTGTCTGTGACGGTTCCCAGCACCTGCAACAAGTGTTCTCTCCTTTCCAGTGATTCTTATCTTGGGAGACTCCATGTCCTATGCCATTATTTGGACGTGATTTAGCAAGGAAATGACATGGTCTTTTTTTTTTTTTTTTCCTTTCACTGTTAGGAACAGCAGGAATCAGTACGCACTGCCCCTGAGAAGAGCACAGCTCCTCTTCTCGATGTATTCAGCAGCATGTTGAAGGACACGACAAGTCAACACCGGGCTCATCTTTTTGATCTAAACTGTAAAATTTGTACAGGTGAGCATAACCTGGGATAAAACTGTGGAAATCAGACAAAATTTGATGGTTCTTAAATCATATATCCTCCTAAAAGTAATCACATTCATCCCAAGTTAAGACAAAAAGGCAGGAATGATTTTCTGGAATTTGCCCTTCCTTCATCCCGTGCTTTCAATGCCTGTAAGAAGTCACTGCCTACTCACCAGCAAGCTGTGAAGGTGCTGGGTTTCTCACTGACTCTGTCTTCAAATTCCTCAGGTCAGGTTCCATCAGAAGATGAACCAGCTCCTAAAAAACAAAAATTAGCAATTTCCGCTAAGAAGGAAGACTTGAAACCCAAGCCTGAGAGCTCTTCATCTGATCCAGTTCCTCACTTGTCTGATGAAGGCTCTGCAGAGGTTCTGCCCGAAAATGTCTCAGAACCAGACCTGGAAAGTGCTGCTGGTCCAAACACAGAGAGGAAGTATTTCCTTGGGCCTCCAGAGGACAGCCATCCAGAATCCTCACTGACAGAAGGCTCTTCTCCCTGCCCAGCTTCCTGTGGGGTTGGGGTGGTGACCACAGTCACAGTGTCAGGCCGTGACCCCAGGACTGCTATGGGTGGGTCCTGCACCGTCACGGCCTCCGCTGCAAGCCACCTGGACAGCACCCACACAGTCGAAGCCAAACCAGATCTGCTAAAGCCTGCCTTGCCCTCTGTGACACTGCCGAAGTCCATACTTGCTAAGCCATCCTCGTCCCCTGACCCAAGATATATGTCAGTTCCACCGTCAACAAGTGTCAGGTGGGTACTTCAGATGGGGCCTGAACTTGGCGGAATCCTATTGTTTCTTTTAGATGAAGGAGGGAAAGGAAGGGATTAAATGAGTATTAGATGAGCCCAAAATTTACTCCAAAATCCAGTCTTACAAAGGCTTAGTTTTAAGATTGCCTATTTCAGCTGTGATCAGAAAAATGCCTCTTCTTATACTTCAGATGTGCTTTGTTTCCCAAGTATACTGTTTCCCATTTAATATGCTATTAAATTATATCATTTATTTATAGAAATTATTTTAATTTATTTATTAAATTATGTATAGAAATTATTTGTATAATTTAATAAAGGACTGTATTAACAAAGCCTTAGATGGTGCAGGACGTTTTAGCAGCATCTTAAGGATTTTAGGGCTTTAAGAAGAGCAAAACTCAACACTGAAGATAGCTGCACACGGCATAGCAGCCTGTTTTGATGTGGGAACGCTGCTGCATCTGGTGGGGACGAGTTACAGGGCAGCAGCCAGTGAGCAGAGGGAGAACTGAATAATGCTGTCGGATTAGCTGCTTGCAAATGTCCCACCGAGAAAGTGGTTGTGGAGAACACATGCGATTGTCGTGAAACTGCAGGGGCTTCTGGGAACAGTTACGAGTTCGGTCCTAAGGAAAGAACTTCGAATGACTGAGGCCTCAAACTGAACTGCAACATCTTGGGAATATACTATACCATTTTGGAGGCACAGACCTTCTGTGTTTGTTTGAGACAAGGTCTTGCTATATAATTCAGGGTGATCTTGCACTCACAGTTATCCTCCTGTCTCAGCCTCTCAAATACTGGAATTATAGGTGTTCACTACCATGCCTAGTAAGGCACAGATCTTGAAAACTTTAAGTTTATGATCATCTAGATTTGTTAGCTCTTCTGCTTATTTCTTTGTCCAAAATGTATATCTAGTTTGTTACAGTGAACATAGTTTATTGACAAAAGTAAGCTACCAAACTTACAGGAAGCTATCTCACTGTTGCTTCCAAATATAAAAGTCTGTACTCCTTTGCAGTTGTTATTGTACAAAAAGAGAGATTAACCTTGTTTTGTTTTGTTTTGTTTTACAGTGTCTCAGAGTCACGATCCCCGCAAGAAGGAGACACAACCCTCTTTTTGTCTCGCCTCAACACCATTTGGAAAGGATTTATTAACATGCAGAGTGTAGCCAAATTTGTCACTAAGGCGTACCCTGTCTCTGGGTGTTTCGATTATCTCAGTGAGGTTAGAATCAAGGGTGTACCTGTGTGCCTCTGTGTGTGTGTGTGTGTGTGTGTCCTAGGAGTTTCTCTACAACAGTGAAACACCTGGTACTTAGCAAGGTGTGTCCTGATATATCATCACCTCTCAACGTGAAGAAGAGATAGCTGAGGTGAGGCAGGAGGTAAAGCAGTGTGGATGGGGCAGAAATTTGGAGGAGAATTCAGGTATTCTGTTTATGTTTTGAAGGCTTTACCTAGTGAGTATGCTCAAAGCATCCCCAGGTGTATGTAACATAATCTTAGAGTGGTTGGCATGTGTAACATCTTCACAAGTCTTCTATTTTTCAAAAGGAATTTAAGGTGACTAGGTGTTTTGATCTTAGCCAGCAGTAGCTGGTCAGTCCACCTGGCTAATGCCTGAATTATTACTGTGTGTCCATAAAGTAGAACATAAAACTTTGAAGCGGTAGTTTGTGAATGTGATCCCATTGGGCACAGGTAGTTATTGTACCACCTTTAGGTCAGGAGTCTCCTAACCCTCCATGGTAATTAACCAGTCAGCATTTAATACAATTACATGCATTTCCCTGAATTAGTTGTAATTTTCTTGAGATTTGGCTGGTTTTATGCTTTAAAATTTCCATGTTATTCCTTTTGTAAATACTACAGTTTCTCTGGTCATTTACTCTGAGTACTTGCTATTTAGGACTTGCCGGATACAATTCACATCGGTGGGAGGATTGCTCCGAAGACAGTGTGGGATTATGTCGGCAAGCTCAAGTCTTCCGTATCCAAGGTATCTGCAGCTATAGTACGGTCTCCACCCCAGTGGCAGAGAGTACTTCAATCTGTCTTTGTATAATCGGTCATTTTGATGGACTATCACTGATTTATCACCCTGAAACTTGCTACATACATAGATTGTTATATTTATAGATACTTTATCTTCAGGTGAGTAAGGCTGTAGGAGTTGCCATTTAATGTAAGAATGTTGCAGTTAGGGTTAGTAAGAAAGGCATGAACTGTGTCTCATGGCTGCAGGAGAAGGGGGAGTGTGTAGGTGGTCTGGGTCAGCTGCTCCCCTGACCACTGGGGCCAGCTCTGGTTTTCTTGGAACCCTGAGAATGAGCCATGGCTGGGTGTCAAGTGTGTGGTTTTCCCCTGAGAAGTAGGGGAAGCGTCTGTAGTTTCCATCAGGCTCCCAGGAGGGATGATCCTCTTGCCTAGGTCTGCCCTCTGATGAGATGCCCAGACACCTTTGCAGGTGAGGAGGCTCATCTGTCATGATCTCTGTTGTGCAGTTAAAGCTTGCTGTGAGTAGCACACTGCTGACTGCCCCTGCACACAGATCCCCTCACTGCTTCCAGAGCCCTGTGAGACTGAGGCCGAGGGAAAGAAATTTAAATGAGCTTCTGGTGCTGAAAGTGATTTCTCATTCCGGCAATCTGAAGCTGGAGCCTTTGTTTTTCCACACTGGACCAGGGGACTGAGAAAATCACAGTCAGAATTGCTAAAGCCTCCTCTCTGGGGATCTGCATTTTTAAAAAAAAATTTTTTTTTCCTTTGTCTCTTTGAGATAGGGTCTTGCTGTGCAGTTCAGGGTGGCCTTAAGTTCACTTTGTAGCCCAAGCTGACCTCAAATTTGCAGCAATCCTCCTGCCTCAGCCTCCCGAGTGCTGGAATTACAGGTGTACACCACCATGCCTGGCTCTGCATTTAAAATTTAGGCATAGCCTTTAATGGGTGCTTGGAGTGGGGCAGCCCAGATGAAGGTTCTACCCTGTGCTCTGTCTTGCAGGAGCTCTGTCTGATTCGCTTTCACCCAGCAACAGAGGAGGAAGAGGTCGCCTACATTTCTCTCTACTCCTATTTTAGCAGCCGCGGCCGCTTTGGGGTCGTAGCTAATAACAACAGGCATGTCAAGGACCTCTACCTGATCCCACTGAGTGCTAAGGACCCTGTGCCACCTAAACTCTTGCCCTTTGAGGGACCAGGTAAGTGCCCACCTTCTGGGAGGTCATTAGGCACATCTGGTCCCCATATATCTTCCCGACTATCATAAAGTCCTACTGAAATGTCACAAGGCAGACCTGCCTCTACCAAACCCCGACAGCCCAGCAGGCAGAATTAGGAGCTTACAGGAAACAGTATGTAACGGGATCCTGTCCTCTGTGATGTGGAGACATAGGTGTAAACGTACACCAATCTGTGCAGAATTTGTTTCAGAAGTTTTAGAAAGAGGGAGAAAGCCCACTGCTCCCTTCCAGCCTCAGATCTGTGGTCCTTTCTCATCTCCAGCAGGTGAGAAGCAGCCTGGGGGAGAGGAAACGTGCTGCTCACCTGGCATCTGGCCCGCCCTGCAGTCCAGGTGGGCAGCTCATGGCTCCTACCCAGCTGGGAGTGAGTGGGGCTCAGGACATGCCTGCTCCCCGCTGCAGCTCCTCTGATAGGAATTGATTCCTTGGGACAGGAAACGTAGTGATGTCAAAAAGCACTACTTGAAAGAATTACTTTGAAAACCACAGCTAAAGTTTCCATAAGTTCTTTCATCTTTGGCAGACTACTTTGTGTTTGCTTTTTCCTTAGAAAGTAACATGTTTAAAGAGTTATTTATGAATTAACCAAAAAAAATCCAGAATTTTCCTCATTTGAGGTGATTCCAAGATAGTTCTGAGCCGTCATTGGTGTGGAGCTCTTCATAGCCCCATGGAAGAGGTTGATATGACTCCAGTAGGGAATCGGAGCTGGGTGCCTGCCTGAATGTGTGTCTCCTTGGTCATGGCGTCCTCAGAGGATCAGTCTTACTGCAGAGCTGATGTGTGTGTCACATGCTGAGTGCACTTTCAAGAGTTCTACTGTAGTGACATGTGCTAAACTCTGGGAGCATTCAGATGCAGCCTAGACCTGGCACTTTGGTTCCATGGTTTCTGTCACCAAGCCTCAGCAGAAGCTCTTACTGAAGCCATGTAGAGCTGTTAGAACCCCATGTGTCACTCATGCTACCCCTAAGTAAGCAGTCATCTTGTGGGAATGACAACCCATCACCCCAGTCACAGGCCTGGTCCTTAGGAACTGTCATTACTGCCTGCGCTGGGCTCTCCTCAGCCTCCTGTTTGGAATTGTGCCACCCAGAAGGGTTGATTGGTGTTAATAACTGTAGGGTTAAATATTGAGTGACATAACAATTTACATTACTTTAATACCAACATAAGCACACTTTAAGAGTGCTTCAGGATGTCCTTTCAGATCTAACCTGGAGGTGGAGGTAAGGGTATACTACCTGATGGGGCCCTGGGAGTATGAGGTGGCAGCCATAGGGAGAGAGCATCTTCATAGCCAGGAACAGGAGAAGTCCAGTTGTCCTGAAGGTGAAGATCCAGCAGCAGACCCACAGACACTGAGGAGCTTCTGGTCAGTTGTGAGTAAGCTCATGGGTAGGAGTTAGTGTGTGCATGTGGTTCCCCATAGCAGAGAGCTGTGCTGCCATAAGCGCCTTTCTTTCAGGTGGAAAAGAGCACTTTTTCTTAGAAAACTATGAGTTAGATCCTGAGCCTCCCTATGCTAAATGATTAAAGCAGCATTTCCTCCTTGTTTAAGCTCCTCTGTCTGCACAGTCTCCTGCTAGCACATGCCAGAGGAAGACTCACGCAGGGGCGTTGAGGGTGCCTGGAGTGGGGCAGTTGTGGGTTACTCATTGGTTCCTGTGGAACACAGTGAAAGAGGCTCTCAACAGAGGACAGTGAAAAGGTAGAGCGAGGCCACCAGAGGAGCAGTGCCTCCCTTGTGAAACTGCCACAGGTTCTGGTTAGGTGGAGCAGGGCTCACCTCATACACCACATGTGATTGTTGCTGACCACCCAGATTCACACTTAGTGACAGCAGAGTAGATGTCACACTCACCAGCATGGCACCTTGTGAACCCATGACCCTGCCTGAAGGGGACCCTAAAAAGACAGATTTCCATCCTCAATAAATAACAATTGTGTTTTATTAAAATAGAAAGGATAGTTTTTAGAAAGGGAATGAGACATTGCCACGGATTTTGAAAGAGTTTTTTCAACTGAAAGACTTCAGTATATCTTTTTTTTTATTCTTTTGACACCACTGTGGACGTGAAAATGTGTATGATATTAACACACTGGCAATAGGTACACTCATGACTGGGCTACCTTATGTGCTGATAGCTTGGCGTTTTCCAGATGGTTGTGTGCGTGTGTATGCGTGTGTGTATGCGTGTATGTATATCTGCAGTGGAGTCTTCCAGCTCAGTGTTTCTGTCTTCACGGAGCCTAATCTCAGCAAAATACTTAAGGTGGCTCAAGACCTGTCAGAAGGTGGTGTCCACGTCCCCTCAGCACACCCTTGTCCTGCCTAAGCAACTGCCACACAGAACACCAGGATCTTCGAGCTGCCCATGGTGTCACTTGCCCCCAGTGTACCTCTAGAAGCCCAGTAGTACTGGAATCTGCACAGTCCCATCCACCCTAGAGCTTTTCCCTCAGCGCCAAGGTTGCTGCCCTCTGTGTTCTGTGGGGTGCAGGAAGCACAAGTCTGAAGGTCATGTAGCATGCCAGACTGGAGCCTGCAGCCTGTGGCAGGGACTGGCATGAGTCAGTCCAATGGAGGGTGTACTCAGAAGGTCAGAATAGGGACAGAGAGGTTGGTCAGTGGGAACTTGGTCTTGATACACACACCTGCTGAGCAGCCCATGCTGAAAGCATCCATATGACTGTGGGCCAAAATAGGTTCTGGCAGCACAGGATCCTCCCACCTCTGCTGTTCACATTGGAGAAGCCAACAGAGACCCTGCAGATGCCCAGGCAGTGCCCTCATGGGGTACCTGAGCTGGTCTGCTCATCAGCTCCCACTTGATTCTCATGCTCTAGCAACCATGTCAGTGTAGACCTGCTCCCGCAGAGGGCTTCTCTTCTGCCACATCTCATTCACACATGGCTCAGAGAACGTCCAGAGCCTGCTGAGTACATATAGAAAATTTGTCTCTGCACATTTCAGTGATCTCTGCACAAAAAATGGGAGTCTTGTTCTGTTAGATAGTGACAACTTTAGTTATATCATCATCATTTCAAAAGACAGCAGGAAAGCCTGGGCCACTCTAGTCCAGCTGTGGGTCCTCTCCACTTAGACCTCAGTTGAGCTGGACTTAAGAGCCATTGACAGGGTCTCACTGAGGAGACTTGAGGTCTCAGAGTCTGCAGGTCTAGGGCCTCAATCACAGGAACAAGATGAGTCAGGGGAAAGGAGATCTCATTGATTCTGTGTGGCCCTCACAGTGCTGGGCCTGAAGCCAAGATGCCCACCTGGCACTCAACAGGGGCCCATGGCCTAGCCTGAGAGAACCAGTGGGACTAGGTCTTGATACACACACCTGCTGAGCAGCCCATGCTGAAAGCAGGCATGCAATCTCCTCTGTGCAACCCTCCTTGAGCACTCCTAAGGGAAGGGGCTGACCTCTGACTTCCTGCAAGAAAGCAGCCTTGGAAGTGTGAGAGTCCACAGTGTCTTCTTTTTTGTGTTTGCTTTTAACTGCTTCTTAATTAGCTGGAAAGTACTGTGCCTTCACATATTGACAGGTAAGCACATCTTTATTTCTCATGTGTTTGTATCAGTAGTTTGCCCAGAAATTGTAATCAGAGTCAGAATATAGTGTTGAATGGAATGTACTAATTTCTTGCTCTAAATCAATAAAAATGTTACATGGAAACTGGTCACTGTTTGTTTGACTTGCACCATTTAGTAGCTCCTGGCCACCTGTCGTAGGTATACCTTTGCTGCTTACGAGCTGGGATAACCTGCTTCTGGCAGTACAGAGGGCTGTGGGCTGGCCAGCTGCAGGCATCTCCTGCACCGGGCACCTGGAAGAAGGAAAGTGCCCTCCTACCTGAAACATATACTGGGCCAGTGGCTTTTCACAGGCCTTAGGGACTCAAAATGGAAAAGAAGGAGGGCTCTGGGATGTGCATGTGTATGCCTGGTACATTGGGAAAAGTATAGTGCCCCTCCCCATATTTGCCAAACTCTATCCAAGTCATGCTTAAGAACTGTTTGTTAACTTCCACAGAACTTCTGTTCCAGCAAGTATACATGTTGTCTTTTGGCAGATTTAGACCTTAAAAGGGCTATCATTTTAATGAGTAGCTCATGTGTGATATTTGTGGGGGTTCATAGAGCCACTGCTCAGTGTCTGTAGAAACAGGGGACCTTTCTTTCTGGCCACATCATCCTCGCACAGTTTATTGCTGACTCATCTGGATGTAGATTCTAGTTTTGGTCCTGTCCCAAGAGATGAACTGGCACACACCTTCCCAGTTACACCTTTTGTCCCTGGCTTCTCTGTTTCCTGTATGGTCTAAGACCACTGTGTCTGGGACTAGACCCTTACACCCTCAGAGTTCAAGGGTGCCAGGTGTGGCATTTAATGGGCTCATTTCATACATGTGCTATAATGCACATGCTACATTCTGAAGGAAAACAGGAGGTTCCTACTGCATCTGTACCCTTATTCCTTGTGGAAGTGGAGGAGTACACATGTTAACTACAGCTGCTACTTCAATATCCCAACACCTATTCCTTCTTTTTACCTGCTTTGTTACTTGCAATCCTCACAACAGCCCTCAAGAGGAAGATGAGTTGGTAAGCGTGCTTGTTGCCAGTGTTGGCCCTTGACGCCTATACCCCACACTGTCAATCTCTGCTGCAGCCGGTGAGGCCACTTTCTCAGGACTCACTGCATGCTTCGGGGGTTAGCACTCTTCCTGTGGCAGCTAAGTGAGGCAAGCCTATAAAGTGAGCCCTGAGAAACATGGGCCTCCATTATCCCTCCACAAGGTGTAGGACACAGCTGGATGGACTCAGGTGACCCTCTGACCCGGTTTGACATTTTGCTGCCTGACACCTTTCTTAGGGCAGTGTGGAACATCTTTCAATACACTTCCTCCTTTTCTCCCTAAAGATGCTTCCAAGATTATTGATAAGTGCGTTGTATTATTTCTTAAATAGAAGCTGCTCCCAGGGTGCTTGCTGTAGTTCAAACATTCCTGTAGTCCACAGTGGCATCAACACTCACGTCAAGTGCTGAGGGTGTCCTTCAAAATCAGGGTGTTCGTTGTGGGACAGCCCAGTTTGAATTGAGAATCTCAAGGAAGGTTAGTGGGAAATCAAGGTGCACTGACCTCTAGAGCTTGATCGGCCCATGCACTGTGTGGCTAGGATGGCCAGGAGGTGACAACATTTCAGAAGACCAGCTGCTGGTTGATAGCAAACTCTAAACATCTGCATTGCTTAATAGCAGTGTAAATATGAAGTCATGGAACATTTGCCTTACTGCGAGGACCATGACTACAGAGGTCATGGAGAATTTTCCTGGGCTGGGACTCTCAATATTTCATGCAGGAAACACATTGGGTCACCCTGAACCTTGGTTATAGAGGAGCGCTCCAGCCAGGACGGAGCCTGTCTTCTGGGTTTCAGAGTGAGTTGCCTACCCTATGCTCATTAGTGGCAGGCTTGATTTATACGAGGAGCCCTGATACAAGCCTGTCATGGAGCTTTTCAAGGAGTGAGGCAGTGCACTGCATCAGAGCTGAGGGCACATGTTTGGCACTGATCTGTCCTGGGTCTCCCCATGCCAGAGCCCCCACCTCTTGCTGTCCCTTGCTCCTCCCCTCCCACGTCAGCTAGCAGAGTCTGTTTGTTTTTTATTCCTGGTGTCAGATTTTATTTTATTTTATTTTTGTACCAGCAATCAAACTCAACCTTGCACTTGCCAGGCAGGCACTGGTGTCAGATTGTAGAGCCTGACCTCCATTAGAATCTCAGCTCAAGGCCCTAAATTTTGATTGCTTGGCACTCCAACCTTCTCTACAAGTTCTGTAGTCATTTTAGACGGACCTTTGTTCCAGAAGGAGCAGAATAGCCAGTTTAACAACTAAACGTACCCCAAAAATATACAGTTGAATAAAGTAGTAAGTAAAAAGAAATAATGTTTTAAGTTAAAATACCTTTCATTCATGGTATTAGAAAGTAAACTTCATAGATTGCATTTCCCATTTGCTGTGTGGAAAAATCTGGATGTGATGTTTACTGTGTTGTGCCCGGTCTTTTGAGTTTCTGTGGCTCCTTTGCTCAGCTTTTCCTGTGAGCACTATCCCATTTCCCTAGTGAAAAGACCCTGGGAGGGTCCTCATTACATGACAATTGGAGCCTCATCTCAGCTCTTGCATTCCAGCCCAGGAAGGAGCAGGCCCTTAGGAGGCCTTCACAAGGGAGAGCAATCACTATATGCTTGGGTGGGTGGCAGGGCCCCCTAGTGGGCCTGGTCTTCCTCTGGAGGGGTAGGAGAGTATGGACCCCATGATGTGTTCAGACGTCTGTCCTAAGTGTCTTCTTGGGGTTAAGAAGGTTGAAAACACTCAGTTATACTTACATAATAGCATCTGAAGACAGCTATTTGAAATGATCAGTGGCCATCTTTAAAATCACAACAGGAAGAAAATGTATAGTATTGGTTTTCTTTGAGACAGGGTCTTGCTATGTAGTCTAGGCTGGCCTCCTGCCTCAGTCTCCCAACTGCTGGTTTTACAGGCTTGTGCCATTATGCTCGGCTTTTAGCATCAGTTTTAATTGAAAGGAAAAAATATACCTTTGCCAATGTTAAATTATCTGAACATTGAATATACAGTTTAATTTTAGATATGTTGTGCTATTAAAAGCCACATTATGTTCCTTCTATATCACTGTGCCCTATGTTTGTTACTGTTCTGTGATGTGAATATTTTGTCCCTCTTTTGATACTGGTTCATTTATGAGTACAGGGGTGGGGGGATCATTACTGTAAGAAATATTCCTGATCTAAGTAACTACAACCTAGAATGTTTAGAATAGGCTTGATTACCTTTAATAAACTATACTCCAGACCTCCCCATGTTTCCTCCCTGTGATACGCTCTTTGCCACTCAATTCTGATGTCTTGGTGTTTCGAGTAAGCACAATTCTTTATATTTAGGAAGACTTGAGCATTGGGTAGTTCTTCCTAAGTTAATGTTCATTGAATTTTGTTCTTAACCCAAATTAATTAGCCATTTCAAACAGCTTCATTTTTCCCATTATAATCCTGACAGAATTTTTTTTCCAACAGCTTTTACTTAGTATATTTACCTTTACTTGTGTGTTATAAGTCATGAATTAAAGACAAAAATGATTGTTCCCCTCCTGATACCTACCAAGGGGCAAATAAAGAGTCCAGGTCAGATTTTGTTTAAAATGTCCCAGTACAGTACATGGGAGGTCTTGGGTTCCATGCTAAGTACTGCAAAAAATTAAAATTAAAACTCGTAGTCCATACATCCTTGTGATCTCTGTGAACAATGACAGATGTTTGCACATGCGCTTCCATGTCCTCTGAACTATCGCATTAGCATTATACATTTAAAAACATGGAACATAATCTCTGATGATGGAATAAATTTACTCAAGATTGCAGTCCTTTGTAGTTTGCGATCGGGGGTACATCTGGCCTGCTGTCAGGACCAGGCAGATGTGCTGGTAGAGTCTGGGACTGGAATCATCTGGTGTTAAACTTGATTTTATTTTGCCTCAGAATCTCTTCATCTATCTGTTAAACATTCCCCATGAGAGCCCTTAATAAAATTTACATATGAAGGATAAAAACTGAATTTAGATTCTAAAACTTGACAAACATTTTGTTTTTTAGGTCTTGAGTCACCACGACCAAATATAATCCTTGGGTTAGTTATCTGTCAAAAAATAAAACGTCCTTCAAATGCTGGAGAGTTGGACAAGACAGAGGAGAAGCGGGCCCGACTTCAACAGGAAGAAACAGATGTTCCAGTCTGTCCCAAAGTCACAGCAGCCTCACAGTCTGAGAGGAAGCCCCCCAAGTACCAGCTATACTCTGCAGACATAGTTGTGGGCACCACACCCCCCGGGTCTCCTCCACCCCCGCCCCCTCTCCCCGAGCCTCCAGTGTTGAAGACGTTGTCGTCACTCGCTCCAGTGGTCACCAGCAGTGTTGCTGCACCTGCCTCTACAGCAGCGGTTACCACAGCGGCTTCAGCTTCACCTGTTACTTCATCAGCCTCAAAAACGGCCACCCCACTGGAGCACATTCTGCAGACTCTCTTTGGAAAGAAGAAGGCATTTGAACCCCGTGCCAAAGACTCTGCTGGGCCAACTCTGGCTGTACAGCAGGATTCTAGAAACAAGGGTGAGGAAGGTGTGTCAGCTGCTCCTTTGTTAGATCCCATCGTTCAGCAGTTTGGTCAGTTCTCAAAAGATAAGACTCTGGAAGAAGAGGAAGACGACAGGCCATATGACCCTGAAGAAGAATATGACCCAGAGCGAGCCTTTGACACTCCTCTTTCAGAGACCAGGATGTGTCAAGATGTGGAGAAGGCTCCAGACATGGCCGAAAGGGAAGAGGTGGCCTATGACCCTGAAGATGAGACCATTTTAGAGGAGGCCAAAGTGACCATTGACGACCTGCCCAACAGGATGTGTGCAGATGTGAGGGGCAGCGCCGCAGAGAGGCCTCCAGAGTACACCGCTGATGTTCCCACTCCCTCTTTGGTTGAACAGCAGAAAATGCTGGAGGAACTAAACAAACAAATTGAGGAGCAAAAGAGGCAGCTAGAGGAACAGGAAGAAGCTCTTAGGCAGCAGAGAGCTGCAGTGGGGGTCTCCATGGCACACTTCTCTGTGTCAGATGCGTTGATGTCACCACCTCCAAAGTCATCACTGGCGAAGGCAGAGCTGTTCCCCCAGGAGCAGCAGGCCCCAGACCAGAATCAGGGAGTCCCAGGGACAAACCAAACCTCAGACTCGAGACAGAATAGAGACCCTAGGCAGGCCAGGCGCCTAGCAGAGAGCAGCGAGAATGAGCCCCTCTCTAGGCCTCCAGCAGGTGGTGGTACAGGCGTACAGGGTGCCCTGCCTACCAGGGAGGTTCCTTGTGGGGCCACAGCAGTCCAGGTTCCTGTGGCAGCCCAGGAATCAAAGCAGTTAGTTGCGGCTCCTTGGGGTGCAGGTGAAAAGACTGCACTGATATCCAAACAGGATGGTCAGGGGTGTGAGCAACCTGGAAACCCTGTTCCACAGCCCCTGGAGAGTGTCCATCCCCCCACAGCTGGAGACAGCACAGCCAGACCTGCCCGAAGGGTGCTGCTGCCTACACCCCCAAGCACTGCCTTTCAGCCTGGCTTCACTCTGCAAAATGATGTGCAGAATTTTAATCCTGCTGGAGGAAGAGAGCCTTTCTCAGGTCTGGTATTCACTTCTCAGGAAAAATCTCTTTGCCCATCCCTGTATGAGGACCCAAGAAACACTCAGTGTGCTGGGAAGAGCGACAGCCCAGCCACTGACACAGAGGGTGACAGAGAGCCACTGTCCAGGCCTGGTGAAGGCACTGCCCTGTACCCCCAGGCTGGACAAAAAGGAGGGGCCCCGCAGCCCCAGTTTCCAGGCCAGCGTGAACCAGTTCCTCGCTCTTTTGGGATGTCTGGACTTCATGGCCCAAATTTTTCAGGACCTAGGGGACCAGTCCCCCCATTTCCAGAAGATAATATGGTTCCTAACAATGATGGGCCAAGAGCACCTCCACCTGCCAGATTTGGGGCCCAAAAGGCACCCATCCCTTCCTTATTCTTGGGGCAACATGGGCCACCTTATGGGGACAATAGGGGGCCCTCGCCTTCTTACCTTGGGCCGAGAGGAGGAGCACCAGCCCAATTTGAAGAACACAAAGATCCCCATGGGGAGAAAAGGGAATTCCAGGACACGCTGTACAGTGACATGACAGGGGCCTCTCCCCAGTGTGAAGGCCCAGAGCAGGCTCAGTTCATGGGGAACAGGGGTACTGTACCTTTCCAGTTTGGAGGCCAAAGACGGCCTCTCCTGACTCAGCTGAAAGGTGCCCGAGGAGGAACCCCGCCTGCTCAGTTTGGTGGCCAGAGGGGACCACCCCCTAGCCATTTTGTGGGCCCTCGAGGGCCCCATCCCAGTCAGTTCGAAGGTGCCCGGGGACCCCATCCCAGTCAATTTGACGGACCCAGAGGCCAAGCCCCAGGTTTCATGCCAGGCCCCCGCGGCCTTCAGCCTCAGCAGTTTGAAGAGCAGAGAGTAAACTCGCCACCTAGGTTTGCAGGTCAGAGGACACCAGCACCAATGCCATATGGGGGGCCAAGGGTCTCTGCACCCTTTTCGGAAAAAAACGAGCAGACGCCTGCCCGATTTCACTTTCCAGGCCCATCCCCACAGGCAATGAAGCCATCCCCCAGACCCCTCCTGGAGCTCCCGAGCCACCCCCCACAGCACCGGAAGGACCGATGGGATGAGGCTGGTCCAGCCACAGCCCTGCCTTCTAGTGTTTCATCTGGACAGGGCCATGAGACTGAGGGACAGTGGGCCATGGCGGCTGACTTCAGAGAGGGCAAAGGCCACGAGTACAGGAATCAGACTTTTGAAGGGAGGCAGAGAGAACGGTTTGAAGCTGGGCCCAAAGAAAAATCGCTGGAGGAGCCAGAAGCCCAGGGGCCAGAGAGTCGGCAGGGCCGGGCGTTTGAGGACAGGAGGCGAGACCGAGACCGAGGCAGGAACTGGAGTCGGGAGAGAGACTGGGAGAGGAGCCGAGAATGGGAAAGACATCGAGAGAAAGACTGCGGCCGGGAGTGGGACAAAGGCAGCGAGAGGAACACAAGCAGGGACAGAGAGCGGCAGGCAGACCGGGCCAAGGAGTGGGACCGAAGCCGGGAGAGAAGCAGAAACCGGGACCGGGACAGGAGGCGCGACCGGGACAGGTCCCGGAGCCGTGACCGTGACCGTGAGAGGGCCCGGGACAGAGAGCGAGGCCGTGATCGCAAGGACCGCAGCAAGAGCAAAGAGAGTACCCGGGACCTGAAACCGGAGGCCACAAGGGCCTCTGATGCAGGCAGCACCTCTGCCCAGGCCTAGAAACCACCACCCTTGGCGCTGCATCAGACCTGCGGAGAAAGGCTTCATGGTGGCTAGTCTCAGACAGGCTCAGCCTGGCAGAAACCCTTTCAAAAAGCCAGCTTCTTAAAACATTGTGCAGAGTTTTTGAAATATCTCTGATGAACTTAGATGCTGGAAAGGATATTCTGGACTTCAAAAGTTACTGTAACTTTGTATATACTGATTTTACAGAATTTCACATCTTTATCTGATGCTTTTTTAAAAAACAACTTCAGAACTTAGTATTTCCATTTAAATTACAGAAATGGGAAAATATCTACAAAAGCATATTGCTTTTTCAGATTATAGTTATCTTTTCCAATAACTTGACTGTTGTAAGTTTTAAGGGAATTTTGGTGGACTCAGAGCCATACCTTTGCTAGCACCTCATCTGTTTCCATGTTTCTGGAGCTGTTCCCCAGGGCTGGCTTGGGCCAGCAGGACGCCTGGCCAGGGGCATCGGGTGGGTGAGCTCCGGTGGATGCTGCAGCTGGGAAAGACAGTCTTAGCTCCCCAGCAGTGTTGAGAAACCCAAAAGTTATAAATTCATCTTCGTTTCATTATGGAGAAATTTAAATTACAAATTTCAATCCAGAGACAAAAATACCTAGTTTTGAATTTTTTTCAAAAAAACAGTTCAAAGCAACATCTATCCTAGCAGACATTGTTGCATTTGAAATAATTTATGGAAACATGTTTCATTTTACCAGCTTAAAGGGACAACAGTAAGCATACTTTCAGAGGGTGGGGAGGGTCTCTTGAGCCGCACAGTCAGGAGCATGGCGTCAGTCTGCCCGTGAGCAGCCTGGTCAGGAACGAGCACTCAGCCGGCTGCCCTGCTGCAGGTGTTGGTTTGAGTTTGCCGCCAGAATGGAGTCAGGCTTGTACAAAGTTTGAGCAGGACAAAAGTGATTTATTATTCAAGAATGAGAAAGTAGAAAGGTTCTCACTGAAATGCAGTGTTGTACTGCTTGTCATGTGTTTTCAGGTACTTCTGACATGGAATAGAGAAAGCCTGGTTAACTTATTTGACTGTACAAATACACTTTGATAATTCTTTTTATATTTTCATAAACTTAATTTTGCAGATACAAAATTAGAGAGGTTCATTTGTTCTTTGGAGTCTTTTATTCCATTATATTGTACATCACTACAGATTTTTCACTTTATAGCACAGATTTTTAAGTTGAGAAAACCTCAAGAATTTAGAAATTTGGGATGTTTGGTATTAGAAAGCAAGCATCAGTAGGTTAAATTACATTAAAGTAGGGGTCAAGTTTCAACATCTAACATGATGGGAAAGGTTTTTTTTAACATAAAGCAAACTTTTCTAATTTAAATACACAAATGTAAAAATCAAGTGTGTTTCTTTAGGTTGACTTGATAGGAGTTTCTGTAAATTGTTATTTTGTATTGCAGAGTGTTATATCACTGTACATTAAAACACAGGGCTTCATAGGTTTTGTTACTTGAAGCAGAATAAATACCTACAGAGAGTTCTTGTCTCAGATCTTCACTTGGCCTCGAACCTGAGTCTGTCTGGGTGTGGGCTGGGGCCCCTGGGTCACCGCTGCTGGCCGTTGGGTCCCCTCAGAAGATCTGGGTCTCCCCTCTTCCTTCGGGCCAGCACCCAGCTCTTGCAGGAGTGAGGCAGTAACACACCTGACCTGGAGTAAGCTGGGGACCCACACACGCTCCATCTGCAAGTCCGGAGTTGTCCCAGCAGGAAGACTGACGCTGCCGCGGGAGCGTGGCTGGAGCAAGAGGTGAGCTACAGGAGGGACTGAGCAGGTGTCATTTGGGCGTTAGTGTCACCCAAAGCCAAGCCCTTGGCCCCTGGCTTCTGCCCTCAAAGGAGCAATCTGTCCGCGAAGCCACCGGTCGTGTGGCGTTGGTAGCCCCGTCAAGGCCCGCCCTTGAGCGCCATCTGCTGGTAGTACAGGCGAGCGCTCAGTTACTCCGCGAGCACTTGTGTCCCCAGTCCTGCCATGCGCAGAAACTGCTGGGCGGGGCTGTTTCCAGGCTTAGGCTCTGGCTGCCTCTTTCCCAACTGAGCTAACAGCAATTCAGACCTCAAAGCAAGGACAACATGGAGGGGTCCTTCTGGGGCATAGGTGTCAGCCACCTGCAGACCGCTGTTGCAGACATGGAAACCACCTCCATAATGTCCCATCACCCAAGAAAGGCCGTGTACCAGATGACCGGAAGGACTCCCGTCCCGCCTTCCCTAGGGAAGACTGCTCTGTAGACAGTTCCCACACTGGAGGGCTTCTTAAAAACTGTAGTACAGTTCTGCTGCCAAGATGTCCTCAGCACAGCACCCAGCTACAAAACATGGAAGCCACTTTTGGTCTACAGATTGCCTCTGAGTAGTTTCCCCAGAATCTCTGGAGAAGTACTATATACTCCCCTTTAACTTTGCTTCATGCATCCCTCCGGTACCTGGTCTCACTGTCCATCCCCAAAGCCCTGTGGAAACCCTCTCCATTGCCCTCTTCCAATATCCAAGCCAAGCCACTCCCCCCAGCCTCCCTCCCAGACCGGCTGTCCTCGTCCAGCCCCCAGCTCCTTCAGCCAGTGTCCACCAGCACAGGGTGTGTGTGTGTGTGTGTGTGTGCGCGTGTGCGCGTGCGCGCGCGAGCACCATGCTGCATTTGGCTTTCTAGAGATATGGAGTCCAGTTCAAGCCTGCTCCTGGGACTCAGCCAGACCCCAAGTAGCTCTGTCAGTTAGTAAAAGAGAAGCAGACCAGACACAGCCCTAAGTTTGCCACAAACCTAATCCTAACCCTCTTTTTATTTTTGCCTTTATAAATGCTAGTGTTGTGAAATATAATGTTTATTTCTAGTTTCCCCTGAGGAGTATGTTCTAAAATCTAGATATTTTGCTTTGCTTTGTTTTTTGTGTTTGTGCTTGTTTTTTTCATTACTGGGAATTGCACCACCTGGGCCGTGCTCACGCTAGTCTGGCACTCTCGAGCTATTATTTTGAGACAGCGTCTTGCTAGCTTGGAATTTGTGATTCTCTTTCCAAACCCTCCAGGTAGGGGGGATTACAAGTGTACACTACTATGGCTGGCTCTGTTCTGAACCCTTGAAGTGGGGATGGGAGCGAGGAACTTTGAGCATGACCATGTGTGGGTCTCTGTGTGACTGTGCTGGGTCCATGTGGCTGTCAGAGTGGACACTGAGGCCTGAGTGGTCACTGTCCCTTTAAAGGGAGACGGAATGTTTGCCCTTTGTCCCGGGTCACAAGGGAGCCCAGGTAGAGGAAGGACAGGTGGAGCCAGGCAGAGGCAGAGGTGAGAGTTGGGCTGTGCTCAGGAGAGAGGCTGTGGGGCCTGTGAGGTGGAAATGTAGACTCTGATGCGGCTTGTAGCGGGAATCCCGAGTGAGTGTGTATGTTGAAGCTGTGTGTAAGGGACTGAGGAGGACCAGGACCTTCCAGACACAGCAATGATCTGCACCCCCCCCCCAGCCCCTTGGAGTTTGGTTACCATGAACACTAGTTCTCCGAGCTTGTCAGACTTTCTTTAAGGGATGCTGCAGTCACAGCATTGAAAATTTTTAAATAATTCTGAACATCGTCCTGTCCCTTGTGCTTTCTCATCTTGACCATGGGGCTCAGGCCTGAGTTGGGCTTCACTGAGCTGAGTCCTCACAAGTGGGCTCAGTCTGGGAAGAAGCTGCTGCCCGATTCCTCATCCTTGAGGCCAGGTTTGTGGGAGCCACTGCCTAGGCGGTGGGCTAACCAAGCCTGCTGTGGGCCCCTAGGCAGGCCAGGTTCTTCCCAAATATATCAGGCATGTCTGCCATTGGCCAGAGGCCTTAAAAGACCAGCAGCAGGCAATTTCCAGACCTCTGGGTGTTGTCAGTCTCTGGGATCATGGAGTACTTGGAAAGTTTGTCTCCCTTTAGTTCTCCTTACTGGTGTTACCTGAGGTCTATAACAAGTCTCTCTGTTCCCGCAGGCGCTCTCCACAGAGAACCTCTGCACTGTCTGGGTCGCTGGGAATTTGAGTCCTCTCACTGGCGAGTGCTCACCGACTGGAGAGTGGAGGCCTCGCCCTTGGTGGGACCAGGCGACTTCGTCGGTCCGGTTTGAGTTGTATTTAGGATTTCAGGACTCAGCATGCAAGCACTCAGTGCTAGGGCAGGTAAAGTGCCAGTCCCGTTAAATGGGAGCAAGTAGTTCATGTCCTGTGTTGGTGTTTCCGGTCTGCAGGGTCCCATTCTTTGCAAAGGACCAGATGCAAGGAGCTTTCCTCATCATTTGAATCATCGCAAACCTTATCTGAGCCCAAGGCGATTGCCTGAATGTTTATTCACCTCTTCATCTGATTCACGTTTTTCCACTGATTGTATTATTATTGTTCACATGTGTACACTGCATGTCCTCTCTCTAATGAGAGTGGGTTACTTTTATTAGTGTTCACTCCTGTATACTGGGTGCCCTCTCTCTGATGAGGGTGGGTTATATTTATTAGTGTTCACGCCTGTATACTGCGTGTTCTCTCTCTGATGAAGGACTGTTACCAAAGAGGGTTCTGTCTGCAGAAAAGTGTTCCCCTAGTGCTGATGGTCAGGAGTTTTCTGGGGTTGTACAGGTGTGGCCACTGCACCCAGTGCCATCTCGGTGAGGTTTGCTGTTGGTCCTTGAACTGCATCTCCAGAAGAAATTCAGTGTTCTGTGCAGAACAGGACTCAACCCTCTTCTGACTGCTACCAGATTTGCCCCCTCTGGGCTGGGGTGTGACTGGGGGCAGATCTTGTGGTTAGTGTGCTCCACGCCCTGGGTGCAATTCCCAGCGGCAAGTAAGGAAATGAAAATTTGGTATAAACTCATTGGTTTCCACGAACAGAAAAAGTCTCCTCAAAAGTCTTTCTGGTGACAGTGAATTAGTCATTATGACTTCTGTGCTTCTGTGTGCTGTGTGTGTGTAAGGAGCCAGTCTCAGCCTTCCACAGCAGTGAAAGTGAACCAGCCCTCCTGGGCGAGAGCAGCGCAGTGCCCCTGCCGGCCCCATGTGCACCCCGCTGAGGGGCCCATTCTCCCCTGACTTAGTTGGGTTGTGTCCTTCAAGAGGTGGGTCCCCTTAAGTGACCCGATGGTGTATTCCTGGCTTCTGTAGCTTCTGGTTGACCTTGAGAGCAGTTCATAGTTACATGAGGAGGAGGTCACTCTCATACCTTTTCTGTTACTGAAGGACAGAATGTAGTAGAGAGAAAGAAATGAATGTTCTCAGAAGTTTTAGTTTCATATACTTTGCATTTTTAGGGATTCATTTTCTACCAGTCCTTGCCCTAAGATGGAGCGTGGAGTAAAATCAGAAACATAATTAGTGTCGATGTGTGATTAATACTAGAATAGAGTGAAAAAGAATTGCCCAGGTATGTACCGTTTTCACACAGTTTTGTCATTTACGCAAGAATAAAGGTCTGGCACACTTCCTTTAATGCTATAGAAACAAAGTGAAACGGAGGCCAGGAATACAGGCTGAAGCTGCGGCTGCACCCGAGTGCAGAGTGGATTCAAACAAAGCCATTTCCAGCCTCACGGCCATGGTCAACAGTGGACAGCCTGCTACCTGGATGGCCCGAGGCCATGTCCACACCTGGCCACCAGCTGTCTGGTGTGCAGGGGCCTGAGTGCGGCTTCCAAAAAGCTAGGGCTCCCCAGCCTGGGAGGGACCTGGCCAGTCCTCCTGCAGCAGGCAGAGAAGTGGCCCAGCACTGGGCGCCCTGTGCTCGTGGGCCAGGCCAGCCCTGCTCCTGGCATGGGAGGGGCAGGGCTTCGAGGTGGCCTTGCGTGTCAGCCGGCCGCACTGTGGGGGTCACATCATGGCCTGCTTGACCTGCTGTTTCCTTCACCACCTCTTCCCAGGGGCAGACCAGGCCTAAGCAGGTGGGTGGGGACGTCGTATGTGGCGTTGGAGGGTGTGTTAGTGTTTTCTGTGTACCTGAAGCTAGTGAGTGGCCCAGGGTCGTCTCACAGCCAGAGCTCAGGAAAGGTCAGAAGCCGGTAGTTCCTGTGCAGCTGCACCTGGGTGAGCAGGAATCTGTGTTAGCTCAGTGCTGTTCATGTTTCCCTGGGCAGGTGCCGGGTCCTGCACACGAGAAGGAACTCGCGGGTCTGTGGTCACCGTGAGATTGCCTTCTGCCCTAGGCATGGACGATACAGGTGACCAGAGCATTGAGGATGCACCCGAAGCTATCAGCCCCCTGAGGAAAGAGCTCGGGCAGACCTGGGGGATCCGGAGAACCACGATCACACAGCAGGAGGGCGCTGGGGACACCGCAGGGGACCCTGCCTGGCAGCAGCCACACAGCCTCTCCCTGCAGCACAGCAGTTGGCCAAAGCACGCTGAGCAGGATGGAGAGCTGAGCACAGCCTGGCGGCAAGGAGGACGGGCTGTGTCCCTTGAGGACTCCAGAGAGCCGGTATCCTGGCCAGCGACACCTGTGCGGAGCGCCTCGGGAGGGCACAGCGAGAGCAGCACTGAGGCGAAGAGCTGGCCTGGTCCCCGGTGTGTGAAGGAGCACCCCGCCTCTTCTAAAGAGGCCAGAGGACGGGATGAGCAGGGTGCCGCCTCCCACAGCGACGGCAATGGCGTCACTTTGGAGGGACTTCAGAGTCGCCTTCCAAGAAAGCCAGAGCAAGAACCAGCAGAAGTGGGGCTGAGGGGCGTACGCAGCCGCCTGAGGAAGCAGCGTCAGGGGGAAGACCCCAGCAACACCGTGGAGGTGGAGGCCGGAAGTGCTGGCCACAATGCGCCACCCTGCAGGCTGGACACCGACAGCGAGGCTGCCCGGAGCGCTGTGAACCAGGCCGCAGAAGATGGCAGAAAGCGCAAATCGGAGGCCACAGTGGTTCAGGGACCTAAAGACAAAGACCCCGGGGACCTGGAAAGACCTCAGCCTGAGGGTGAGGGCTATGACCCCAGTGCCCTGCACTGCATCTGCTGCCCGCCTCACAGCAACAGGTGCGTCAGGGTCTCGGGCTGGTGGGGAGATTCCTGCTTGCTTTCGGAAAAAGCGCAGGGACATAACGGGGAGAGTGTTTTCCATTTGCCTTGGTACGCACTGATCCCCAGCTGGTGCGATCGGTAAGTAGTTTGACTGGAAGAAGCTGCACAGTCCCTGGGAGAGAAAGAAGCTGGCTGCAGAGGGCTGCCTGCCACCTCTCCACACTGCTGCCCCCAGCCACACTTCCTGCTTAGCTCTGCTGTCCAGCAGCAGACCACAGGGAGAGCTCATTGCCCGCCCCAGGGGCCGCTGCACCCTGGACTGTCATGTAGGCGGGGACCACGTCTGCCATCCCAGACCCCCAGGGAAGGGCGCAGGGCGCCCAGGCCCACCGTGTGCTGACCCTGCTGGCACCTGTGTGGCCCGTGCTGGCTCTGGGTGCCCGGGCTTGGGTGTCCCCGGGACTTGCTGGGCTGACGCTGGGTGGCTGTCGTGTGCAGATGCACACAGAAGCCGCAAGTCACGTGAGAATGTCCTGGTGGAAAACGATGGGGCGAGTGTGGCCGAATGTGAAGGGAATGGAGGGAGGAAGCTCGGGCCATGTTAGTCCCGCGCTCTCTCCTTGTCCTGGTCCCGTGGTGCGTAGCAGCGTTAAGGCAGCGTAGCCTCCTCGACCCTGGGCAGTGATTGTCACTGCTCCCCCCACTCCTGAGTGGTCACTTTGTCCTCTCAGGTGGAGGATCAGCAGTGACCGCCGTGAGGGATGGGTCCACGGCGACCGTGTGGGCGTTTCTGAGGCGCCAGGGCAGCTCTGGGGGAGGAACGGCGACAATTGCCTCTGCCCGGACTGCACCACCCTGCAAGCACGGGGCAGGAGGACCGCAGACACCCCCGGTGAGCAGGAGCCTGGACGCAGGCCCGGAGGCTCCGACGACGACGCGGAGCACGAGGGCAGAGGGACGCGCGAGCAGAAGCCTGGGGCTGGCCAGGGCAGCCAGGGTAGAACTGAGGACACCCCAAGCCACAGCGGCGAGGAGACCGAGAGGACGTCCCCGCCTGTGAGTATTTGTTGGCCGGCCGGGAGCACACAGGGGCGGCCTTGCTCGGGGCAGACTGGCTGTGACAGAAACCAGTCCCAAAGGTGTCCTCCCTTTCACCCAGGCAGGCTTTGCTGGGTCACCACCGTGTGGGCGTGGGGTGGCCCACAAGAAGCGTCCTTGGCTGGGAACCCGGCTCAGCGCCACATGGTCCCAGCAAGAGCTTTTACAACACACCATCCACCTCCTATGTTGGAATTTTGCTTCGCTTTCCTGTGGACTCAGACTTGAACACGAGGCCTTAGCACTGAGCCCGCCCAGCCCCTTCTCCATTTTCTATTTTGAGGCAGAACTTCACCAAGTCGGTCTGTTGCCCCGTCTCTGCTTGAACTTGCACCCAGAGTGTTGGGTGACAGGTGTGCACCACCACGCCTAGCTCTCCCAGTTACCATGGAAACACTTGCCTTTCTGTGTGTCTGTGGCGCTGTGTATGTTGTGTGTGTTCTGTGGCTCGGTGCATCGTTTCCTGCCAGGAGGCTGCCGTCTTCATGCCCTTCCCTGAGCTGGACACCCCCTGGGCCATGGCAGTCACTTCTGCTGCCTTATGCACTGCTGCTGAGAACTGCCTGCCGCTCCCAGCTGGCAGCGTCTCTGGTCCAGTTGCACGGGGCCGGCTCAGCACAGTTCCGCTTGGGCCTTCCTGGGCTCCTGGCCGCCCTGCCTGTCCTCCAGCAGGTACAGAGATGGTCGAGGTGGAGGTGGCCGTGTCCCTAAGCCTCTCTGCCTTGCCATGTTCACCCTGTATGTGTCAAACGCTGAAGCTGCGAGGACTTGGCCCCTTTGGACCAGGCCTGGGGGAGACGTTAAGCGTGATTTCCTGAAAATGTGGGGTCCATCAGGAACATCACATTTACTAAGGCAAAGTCTCCAGTGTCCTCTCTGTTGCCAGTTTCACCTGACTCACATAAGCCTGTGTGTCACTCCAGGAAGACCTAGATTGAGCAGCAGAAACGCTGGTGCTCAGTGTTCCCTTCGGATGTGACAGCTTCCTTGTGGAAGTGCGGGGCGCCTGGCGGGAATGTCCTCTGGGCCTTCAGACAGGCTTTAGGACCTGCGAGCGGGAGTGGACAGCTGCGCTGCTTCTTGAGAGCCAGTGCTCTGTGAGGAATCAGCACAGGCCCAGCTGAAGGCCATGTACACAGAGCCCTGCGTCCCGGGCTCAGAGCCTGGCCCTGCTGAGCCAGACCTGAGACCTCATGCCGGGGCAGCTGGGCTGTGGGCTCCTGGGGCTCTGCTGGGGAGGTCCTCGCCCAGCAGTGCGTCCGTCCCTGCAACCTTGGTGACAGCCATACTGAGAAGTCAGTCACTGATTATCTGGAACCTGCAGGGGGCGTCCGTGCTTTGTCAGCCCCACACTCCTGTCCTAACCGTGGTGGTCCCAGCTTGTAGCAGGGTAGCTTGCTTCCTACCAGGCGCAGGGTCTCCTGTTGGGAAGGGTCCAGTTCCTCCTTGGAGAACTTTCACCTGGTTAAGTCTGAACGCTGGCCAAAAAAAAAAAAGAAAGAAAAAGTAAAAGGCCGGGCTTGGTGGTGCATGCCTGTAATCCCAGAACTTGGGAGGCTGAGGCAGGAGGATCATTGCGAGTTCAAGGCCAGCCTGGACTACAAAGTGAGCTCAAGGGCAGCCTGAACTGCATAGGGAGACCCTGTCTCAAAAAGGTAAAAAAGAAAAAGTCTGAATGCTGGGACGCCACATTATCTCACTAGAGTTACAGTTTGGTCCTGGGGGACCCGGCTATGGGCCCATGGTGTCCGCAGTGGTGCTCAGGCTGAAGGGGAGGAGATGTGCAGAGCATGTGCACCAGGGACTGCCTCAGCGCCCTGCCCAGCTCGAACTGCCAGGGGTGGTTACAGGGCAGTGCCTTGCACAGCGGTGGGGGATTTGTGCAGTTTGCATGAACAAAGATGATTTTTATTCACATCAAAATTACTGTTAGATAGACCTTGGTCCTGTCCATAGCGCGGTGACAAGTGCGTTTCCTGTTGGCATCGCACGTCCATCCTCTGATGCCTCCTCTTGGCTTCTGCAGGTCACAGTGGCTCCTGGCACCGTGCCCTGCGCGGGCCCTGGGTGCTCCCATGTGGCGCAGCCTGACACAGTGTACTGCAGCAAGGACTGCATTCTCAAGCACGCGGCAGCTGCTATGCGACTGCTAAGTGCACAGAAAGGACACAAACCGAAGCCTAAAAGGAAGGTCAAGATGAAGCCAGAAGAGCTCCGTCTCCCAAAACCTAGCGTGCAGGTGAGCTGAGCCAGGTGACCTCTGGGACCTTTGACACGAAAGCGTGTGTGACAGTGTGTGTCCTGTGTCCCTGTGCTTATTTACTGAAGGTCTCTAACCCGGGCACAGCAGGTGTCCACGTCACGCAGATCCCCTGTACTCTACCTCTGGCTCCTGCCCTTAGCTGAGGGCTCAGTTAGCCTGAGTGCTGTGAAGCAGTGCAGGAAATTGGCCGCCCTGCCGGAACTCAGGGCCAGGACTCACAGTACCACCTGGGTGTGCACAGCCGCCCTTTGTGTTCTGTGTGAAGTCCAATCCCAGGGCATCGCGGGAGGGTAGGTTCTAGTCAGGGCTCTGCTTCACTTTTCAACTGTGTGATTAGGAAGAATCGGGGATGTTTCAAAATGAGAATCTCTGTGTTAGTCACGAGTTGCCCTGAGCTCATCTGGAAGTGGCCGTCCGCGCCCTGCCCTGTGTGGACGTGCAGACAGCACCACGCCCCCACACCCTCACCCCTGCTCCCTTGGTCCCTGTGCACTGTCTGCCCCTTGCTCACCTTGGACACCTCGACTTCAAGGCTGCTTCCTTGCAGTCCCTCAGCTGCTGAAGAGCAGGGCTGGAGCGCGCAGTCAGGGACAGCAGAGCTGAGCGTCCAAGCCCTTTCCTCAGCATCCACACCTCCAGATTTTCTGTCCAGGAGCAAAGTGGCACTGTCTCCTCTAGTTTTCGAGTCCCAGCGCCTTCCTGTCTGGGGCTGAGCACGTCCTGACGCCTGCACTCGGGCCCAGTGCACTGTGCCTGGGCTTGATTCTCTGCCTCGCTCACGGCTCCTCGCTCTGTTGTCT